AGCCTAATACCTTTGAGGATCCGGCCTTGAGTGCTAAAATTTTTTGGTTGCTATGCTTCTCCCTCTCCCTGCCCTGCCCCCTTCATGCTCTTTATGGGAATAGGGGAAGCAAAAGGAATATTTTATAATCTGGCATCAAATTCATGTAATCAGCCTCCTTGGGAGATGGGGGTGGAGGGGAAGGAATCATCTGCAGGGTAACACTTGTGCCTCCTTATAAAAATATTATTGCAACAAATAGTCCTGGTACTGTGTAGTTTATCAGTAGATGGAGGCTGGCTCCTCTCTCCACACTTATCTGCCGGTAATTACTAGAGTCTGTTTATATTAGGAGCTGTATTTTGAAGAGGACATCCAGGGCACTCAGAGCTGGGGGTAGGTGTTCTTTTGCACAGAGCAGTATAAATCTGAATAGATAAATACAAGCAGGTGGAAAGTTCCCCCTTCCCTCTCTCTACTGGGGTTGGAGGAGTTTATCTCCCCCAGAACTCCCCTTCCTGCCTTTTCACTGCCTGATGAAATGAGGACTTACCAGGTGAAAGAATCTGAAGTGGGAGCAACAGGAAAAACTCGTGCTTGACTGGGGAATTTATAGGGCTCCCCGCTCTTCCCACCAGTAGGTGCGTCAGTGCTGGCACCTCCTGAGAGGTGACTTGTGCAAGCTGGGAATCCCCTGGCTGCTCCCTTTCTTCTACAGAATCATCTGGAGCCCTGCCGGGAAACAGCAGACCATGTCACCGCCTCCCCAGAGTCCAGGGGATATGGAACATCTCTCTCCCCCTGGTACTGTATGGGGGGGGGGAGGGGGAGGAGACCCGGAAGGGCAGCTGGGAGTACTATGATGTTGCCCCAAAACAGTTCCACATTCTTGGCATGCACACAGTTGCTCACACACATATGCACTCTCACCCCTTTGACTGGGGGCTTTCACACTCTTTTGCCCATGCCACATCATACCCCACAAGATGACAGGGTGCCACTTTACCATATGATGTTGATGTCAGCACCATACGGACACAACCATCTCAATGAGTAAACTCCTGTCTTGCTCTACGTGAATCTCCATGTCATTGGCTGTGATCGTTTCTAAAGGAGGTGTGAGGCATATGTCCATCTCTCTCGCAAAAAGCCATTCCTCTCCCTTCAGGGATTTGAGGAGAAGAGACTGACCTTTTCTCTAGAAAGATGAGCTGGGGCCCTTTTGAATTATTCAGTGTGTGTATAACAGTTGTTAGCACTGACAGAAAGATACTGCAGCTTAGGTCACAGATGCAAGCTGTAGCTTCTGAGTTTCAAGAAAAGAGCAATGTAACTGTATCCTCCTCACAAACCTGGCTGCTTCAGGGCCTGGATGTCACAACATCTTGGTGCCTTGACACAAATGTTGCACTTGGGGGGTCCTTTTGGAATGTGGGGCCTGACTCTGAGTTGACTGGACTTTCTACACACATGCCTAATGTCCCAATATGAAATTATATGTTAATGTTAATAATTAGCACTTTTCATCTGCTGAGATAAATACTAACTCCTCACAACATTGTAATGAGGGAGATCAGTAGAGTTGTACCTAGTTTACAAATGGGGAAACTGAGGCACGGTGGTTAAAGTTAACATTTTCAATCTTAAATGCCTTAAATTGGGCACCTAAGTCCACAGTTAGGCATCTAAATAAAAGCATTTGCTAAGCATATACACATTCCAGAGGAGTCAATTCACACTATGGTTGCTTAGCACCTCTGAAAAAATCAGGCCAGGTGACTAACTTTTCGGCAACCAATCATGAAAATTTTGCCTAAGCAATTTGCCCAAGGCCATGGAGGAAGTAAGCTGGGGTGAAACTCAGGATCTTCTGGCTTCTGATTTTGTTCTCAGACCATTCGATCACCAAGCCCTCCCTCCCATCAGCACGATAAATAGACCACTGAATGTTCTTCTGTCTCTTGAGTTCTGAGCCTCCTACGTCATGAGGATAATACAGAACGGGAGGTGAGATGACAAACTTTACAAGTGGAAGTATGTCTAGGGCTATATTGTTATCATCTTCTGAAAAAGGAGCTAATGATAAAAGAGGTATAGTCCATCGCACTGTAGTAAACTTACAGTAATAACATATCACAGTTGGGCTTGCAATCCTTTTACCTGGAAGGGGGATTAAAGGTCTGTGATATTTATAGCACTCTTCCATTTTACAAGGCCATGTCAGCTGCACAGACACACCCAAAATGGAGTAACTTTGATTACAGATACCAATCCACTGTGTCCCTTTCAGACACTGTAACATGTCCTTTTATTCATGTATGGCCCAGGAGCATTCTAACGTCCTTCCTCACCCGCCCAGAAACCTCATCTCAGCCTCTTCAATACGAGCAGATTAAAGTCTTGTCAACTGGATGACCTGACTTGGGCCCTATGTTGCAAAGAGGGATCCAACAGTTGTTGTTTGGTAGCCTATGCAGATGAAGTCAGGTGGGTCTCTGCCCTGATCGTAATGGACTTTGTCAATAGAAAAACCCACTACAAAAATTGGCACCAACTGGCACACTCAGTTCAGAGACCAAGCACTGGATAGACCAATGGAAACAGAACTAGTTCTTCAGGAGCGGAAGTTGTTTTTCTAGTCTAGGGGCATTGATGGGGCAATGTGGTGAAGCTTGCATTCCTGCTGCCTTGTTCTGGAGATAAATTCACTGTCCAGGAAACTTTGTTAATTCAGAGATAAGGTTAACTAGCAGTGCAGTGGCCCTAGAGCTGGTCAGAAAACAGAGGTTTTGTTCTGCAGGAAATTTCCCCGTTTCAAAATTGATTTTCATTCCACAACGGAACAAAAAGTCAGCTTTGGAAATGGGGAAGTTCCGTACAATGTTAATTTAGAAGCCTCAAAACATTTCATGTGGATGTTACATTGTTTCAACATTATCAGAATGAAACTATTTGACATTATCAACATGAAAAGTTTTGATCCTTCCAAGTGGAAATTTCTCATTTCAACATTACGTGCAACTGACATGTGCCTGTAAAATGGAACAGGGCTGCAAATAGCTCAGATCTTTAACCCCCCTTCCAATAAAAGAAGGATTCCAAGCCAAACTTGAATATACTACTGCTGGATGATTACTACACTCTAGTGGACTATCCGTCTTTTATCATTTGCTCTGAACTGGGTGGGGTATACTCGTCTTTTAAGGTCAGAAGGGGAAGTCTGGGAGCTACGGTTACCATGTTCCAGGAGTTCTGAAGCAGAGGATGCCCTAGGAAATGGCAGATGCAGATACTGGGAGAGAGGAAATGATCCTGGTGTAATAGTGTTGCAGGGTGGGGTGGGGAGAAAGGAATCCAGGTGAGTGTCTCTTTAAGGGACAAGGAGCCTTGTAGTAGAGGGTGGGACAAGGCTCCTCCTTCCTCTCAACCAACCAGGACACGTTCCAGGAAGGAGGATAGCATATAATTTGCCTCTTCCCAGGGAGAAACATTAGCAGGGGAAGGACTGCTTGCCTGCTGACCTCTCCTGGCCCAAGCCAATGGGGTTTCCTGTGACTGTGGGGCCTATTTCTGCTCCTCAGTCCATTCACGCATCCGGGCAGAGTTCCTTCGGGCGGTGTCTGCTGGCTCCCTTGACATCTTTGAGGAGCAGTGGGCGCTGTCCCAGGTTCTCTGCTCGGTGTCCCCATCCGGTTCCCTTCGTTTAGCCTGTGGATCCTCCCCTTAGGCTGGGGGGAGGTGCTTTAGCAGTGGACGGGCAGAAGCCCGCCCATTTCCTGGTTCCCAACAGGATCTCTCCAGGCCCAAGGAGAAAGGCCTGAGGTACTTTGACCATGCCTCCAAGTGGTGAGATTGGACCCCAGCAGACACACCTGGGAGGACTTAGTTAGGAAGGTGGTGTTTGGAGTTTTGTTTGTTTGAAAGGCTTTTGCTGCCAGGCCAGCTGAAGCTGGGTAAGAGTAATGTAAAGGTCCCAGCTAAGAGAAGACACCTAGGGGTGCAGCCTGCAACAAACTCTTTTCCTAAGGTGATGATATTATCTCCCTAGACATACATTGTCTTGTACACTATATCCAGCATTGTCCTATCTTAGTGACGTAGGAGGCTCAGAAAACAAGAGAGAGAAGAACATTTCCTGGGCTATTTAACATGGATTGGTGAGCTAATAATCTGAGAATAAGAGTGAAAGCCAGAAGCTACGGAGTTTCATCCCAGCTGATTTTCTCCATGGCCATTGAGCAGTTTTTTGGGCCAAAATTTTAATCGGTGGTTGTCTAGTGTTAGGTACCTAAATAAAGGGCCTCAATTTTCAGAGATGCTGAGCAACCACATCTCCAAATGACTTTTGTGCTAGTGGTGGGTGCTCAGCACCTCAGCAAATCAGACCATTTTTTTAGGCATCTAAGTTTTAAAATGCTAGACTTAACCATAGTGCCTCAGTTTCTCCACTTGCATGCCAGGAATAACACTACTGACCTCCCTCACAAAGGTGTTGTAAGGAGGAGTTAATACTTCTTTTTAAAGAGGAGAAGTGCTAAATTAATGTATAATTCGAAACTGGGCTATTAGGCATGAGTAAAGAGTCCATTCAGGTCAGATTCAGGCCCTACTTTCCAAAGGGACCCCAGGGCACAATATTAGTGTCATGGAACCAAGATGTTGTCACACTGATGCAGGTCCTAAAGCAGACTGGTTTGAAAAACTGCTTATTATGTGAGCACTGCCTGTCCTGTGTACTCAGTGAGGCAGGCGTCCTTGATAACACTAGCAGGTGATCATGTAGTTGAAAACTGTGTCCTACTGCATATGCACCAGGGGACTGAATTCTGGCCCCTCCCAACTTCTGAGTGCTTGACTTTGCAACCTTATTAATGTTTGGGAGTTTTTCTCCACCAACTATTTATTATTTAGGAAGTCCTAACGTGTTTACATAATGTTCTTTTAATGTAGTTTTTGTATATGTATACACAACGTTTATATACAATTCTTTTTATATAATAGAATGAAATTAATTGAAGTGAAAAAGTTGAAACAAAATGTTTTTACTTTAGCAAAACATTTCAACATTATAAAAACAAAAACAACAAAGTCAAAACAATTCACTTGGGCTTTCTCCCATTGAAATGCTTATCATAATCAACATGTTCCCTGGAAGTGTTTTGCTTCAGCTACATTTTCTGATGGGAAAAGTTTCTTCAAATTTTTCAATCAACTCTATTCAGACCCTTTTAGAATATTGGGTGCACCTACAGCTAAACCTGTGGAAAGACAGTAGAGTACAGAGCCGTGCAAATGTACAAATAACTTTTTTCTGGCTCATCATGTTAATTCAAACCACATTGTACAGCCAACATTTACCCTGAAGAAGTTTTTCCAGTATTGCTTCTCCAAAGGGGCAACAGCTGCTGGACAGCAGTTGAGATCAGTCCCAACCAGGCCCTGTTAGTTTGAGGAGTGACAGGAACTGAGTTTGAGCCCCAGGGATACTAAAAAAAAAAAAAAAAGTTATAAAAACCATAAAATGTTGATGTCAAACCATTTTTAAGGGTCTTGCGGGAACCCCTGGCTTAAATGCCTTCAAACTTGGACTAGTAACTCTAGCCAAGACCTCTATGAGGCCCAGTAATTTTCAAGACAATGTGAATAAACATGTGGACTTTAGAGCATTTAGAAAAATGGGCTAGACCAGAGGTGGGCAAACTAGAGCCTGCAGGCCACGTCCGGCCTGTGGGACCGTCCTGCCTGGCCCCTGAGCTCCTGGCCTGGGAGGCTAGCCCCCAGCCCCTCCCCCGCTGTCCCTCCTCCCTCCCCCGCCGCCGTGCAGGCAGTGCTCTGGGCAGCGGGACTGCCCACTCATGCAGGGCAGCGCCGCAGGGTGTCTGTGGCGGCCAGACATGCTGCTCTGAGCGGCATTGTAAGGAAGCCGGGGTTGGGGGGTTGGATAAGGGTCAGGGGGTCCCAGGGGGCAGTCAGGGGATGGGGAACAGGGAGTGGTTGGATAGGGCAGAGGTTCTGGGGGGGCAGTCAGGGGACAGGGAGCAGGGATGGTTGGATAGGGGTGGGGTTCCGGGGGGCAGTTAGGGGTAGGAGTCCTGGGAGGGGGTGGTCAGGGGACAAGGAGCAGGGGGGGTTGGGTGGGTGGGGGGATTCTGAGGGGGGCAGTTAGGGGGCAGGAAGTGGGAGGGGATGGATAGGAGGCAGGGGCCAGGCTGTTTGGGGAAGCACAGCCTTCCCTACCCAGCCCTCCATACAGTTTTGTACCCCGATGTGGCCCTCAGGCCAAAAAGTTTGCCCACCCCGGGCTAGACAGTAAAGTAGTCTCAGCCTTACAATGGTGTTACATCGTGCTATAACTCAGGACTTCTGTCTCCAGCAGAAGCTAATTCCACTGCTGAATTCAATTCTAAAAAAGAAAAACATAAGATATAGTGTTTCAGCATCAGCTATCCATATAGGAACTGGGGTAAGCGAAAGACATCAATGCCCTTTACACACTATAGGAGTCAATGTATTATGTAGGGACAAGTCCTAAGGAACTGTACATGAGCTGTACATGAGGTATGTGCTCATGTACATACATATGTAGAGAAACGGTCATTTAAAACCTGCTTCTCCCACCTGCTGGAACAGGCTTGTATTAAATATTAACAAATTTTGTCCATCAGTTCCCTGGGCCTCTTTTAACAACAGATTTATTACAAGAGCTTTTCTCCCTCCCACATTGCTTTTGTCAGCATTGCCAGTTGTGAAACCTAAGATTCTCTTTCCCGTAACTCTGTCTGCACTGCCTCATTGCTTCTCTTGCTGAGCAGTTGCTCTCTTTCTCACTCCCTCACTGGGACCACTGATGCTGTCTACCTGCCTTTGGCCATTGTAAGCAGCTGGTACTGCTACTCATATTTGCCCAATGAAAATATATTAAAGGGGAGGGAGAAGAGAGTGAAACAAAAATACGAAGCCAGAGAGCCACTGCAGTAGGAGTGGAAGACAGAAGAGCAGGTGGAAGGGGTGATTAGCATGGCCAGTAAGTCCAGAGATTTGCCTCGAGTAACCTTCGAGGCTCCAGAGAAGCCTGGGGAGGAATCATCCCACAAGAAGCTGGGCAAGCTAACAATTAAGTACAACCGCAAAGACCTTCAACGCTGGCTAGACCTGGAGGAATGGATTGATGCCCAGTTGCAGGAGCTGTACCAATACCAGGTAAATAACCGGGGTGGATCCAACTTTCCTTCATTAGGTGTAGGGGAGCCTAGACCCTGTGGGCTATGAAATGTTATTTTTAATTTATTGGAGAACAACCCAGGTTGTGACGACTGGGGACTCTGTTCTCTAGCAAACTTATCACATGCTAGAGCTCTCTCTCTAAGTGACGCTGCTGTGTTAACGCTCAAACTGTGGGTAATGGCATGTCTGTCAAGGGAGATAATGGGCACTACAGGCAGAGAGGAAAGGAAGGGGAAGTGGGGATTCAGGCATTGTAGGTAAATACTTTGTTTCCACACCTACAGGCCTCCAAAGTTCTCTCCCCAACATTTTCCACAGCAGCAATCTTACTTGGTGGAAGTGTATGTGAGCAGTCCTTTAGAACTCTTACAGCCCACCAGAGTTGGCAAAAGAAAATAAAGATCCAGGTGTTCTGGGCACATACCTATATAGATGGCAGTGTTTATCCTGAACTGTCTTGGAGCCATGGTACTTTTCTGGCTGCGTCATTTGGGGTTTAAACCAGGGATTTTTCATTGCCTTTGTACAAAAGTTTCCAATACAGACTGAACACTGAAACATTAACCTGATGTCACTGAGTCCATTCATATTTTGTACTTTCGTGGTATGTTTGTTGGTAAATCTCAAAGTACTTTGACAAAATGGGTGAATATGTTTTAGTTTCCCTAAATGGGGATAATACTAGAGAAGTTACACAATTTGCCCTGATCCAAAGCCCATTGAACTTACTGGATCAGACCCCAAGTCACTAGCAGACACAGGAACAGAACCCAGCTCTCACGAGTCCCCTAACCAGTAGACCACTGTTGCCTTCAACAGGTGTGGATGGGTTTAACAATTTGTACAAAATAAGACGCACATCTTCACCCCACACTAAAAAATTTGGTTAACTCTTGGATTTTACAGTCTTCCATTTTTGAGCATTGTTGCAATTTCAGATAGGATTGGAAATGGACATGCCAAAATATCCCTCTGGTAATTTCTAGGATCACTTGCTTTTCTATCTGCACTGGAATTTATTAGGTAAACTATTCACTATTTGAAATGAGAAGACAGCTCCCCTTGTATTCACACCATCCACAAAAGACAACTGAAAGAAAAGAGTATATATAGGCACTCTGTTTTGCAGTGTGTGTGACACCTCTAATAAGGAATGTCTGGTTTCCTGCATTATTATTCCTGTCTTTTTATTAAGAAAGGTTTTAATCTTCTTGAAGTTAGTAAAATGATTATTAGTTAGACTAGTAAAATGATCACTAGCTAGGCTAGATTATCATAATTATCCCTTCAGCCCTTAACTTCTATGAATTTCCATTTGAAATTCATTCATTTATTTTTGTTTATAAAATATTAATGGGAGCTCATCCCATGCTCTGGGTCCCCTTATAATACATTAAAATGCACAACAGCACATTCAGTGTAAGTACATTCAAATACACTGCCTAATCACACCCATCAGAAAATCTGAGTAACAGTATCCTGAATTGAGTCATCAATGCAATATTTATGAAAGGTACCAGATTGACGGCCCTGGTGAATGAAGTCTGTTTATCCATGGAATAGGTACAGCAGCAGTGCCAGCTCCCCTGCCAATGTTCCTGTCCTGGCTTTAGGGGACGGGACCATCTCTAGAGGGGATAGGTTAGTTCAGTATCCAGACCCTTTCCGTCCTGCTCCTCTCTGCTGAGATTGCCAACAAGAATGATGATTCTTTTTGATAATTTTTGTGATATGGGAACTGGACCAGGACCAACAGACATCAAATGGTAACCATTTTTGGTCATGACTCTCTACCAACCAGAGCTGGATCTAACCCAGCAACCTAGAGATAAAAGGCTCTTTAGTCTATTAGCCATCTAATTCCCCAGTACTGACCTTCCTAGCAAGTCTATCCCTAAAACTTACTCTGTCTGTTTCCATTTGCCAGAGATGTGCCGATTGGTTCCTTCTTGATCATGTGGCCTGAAGAGATATTAAAGCTGGACACTTTTTGGCTTCACCCTATCATCTAAAATAAAAATGAAACACCCCCTATATATATGTGGTTTTACTTTCTTTGGCTTTAGTCAAGTCTTTGTTCAATGCCTCTTTGGCATTCAAGACCAGCAGTTCCAGGCTCGTGTGACAATCACACCATGGGAAACATGTAGAGCATGTCTATACACGTGCCCAGTAGGAACAGCAATGTAGAACAGGCAGTGGCACCAAGATGTCACTGTGCTCATGTGACAAGATCAATGACATTTGATATCATTGGTCTCCTGAGAGCCAACGCCTATGGTGGAGAAAGATGAAAGGAACCCACTTCCATTCTAGAATATGTAGACCCTTTCCGTACCTTGTATTGGTGGGACTGGCAAAAGTGGAGAGATGGATGGGACTGACAGAGTATTTTTATGAGGGAGTTTGAGGTAACAGGGCACTACTGTAAGGAAGCTCACACCGTGGAGGATTACGTGGAGGAGACAACTCTAAGAAAGACAGAACAATTGTTGCTTCTTTAAAAGAGTAAGGTTTTTTGCTACTCAGAGGAACTAGTAACATTTAACGCACTTGTTTCAAAAAAATTCACAAGTGGCCTACCGGCAGTTCTTGGTGGTACCATGTGCAAGACCAAGGTGTGATTCCCTCTCAACTCTCACTATGCCGGGCCCACAAATGAGCATTTTTAAAGGAGCCATAAAGGCAATACTAAAGTCCCTTTTTCACCTATGATCTCCTGAGAGTTTGCATTATGTAATCAGAGTCTGAAATCATTAACATTGCTGGTGGGTCACCATGTCCAAAGGTACAGATTCAGAGACTTGTTTTCCTTTGATTACTGCAAAGTCTTAGCAGGAAGTAGGTAATTCTGGAAGGCGTTGCCAACTGACTGGGGCTGTGCTGCTGGCTCCTCTCCTGCACAGGAAATTCCCCAGAATTCAGACACGCATTTCAGGATCCATAATCTCAGGCTAAGCATCCAGACTTCCAACCCTAGTTCTGACAGTTCTTGATACCTGGTCCAAACACACTTGGAAGTACCACAACACCGTATGTGCAAGTTTAGAGATTGTTGGCACCAGTACAGCATTTCTTGTAAATGTTTTATGAAGGATTTAAAAAAACAACAACCTACCTGACAAATCCTAGAATCACTTGGGTCTGAAGGAGTCTCTAGTGCGCCATCCCATTCCACTCCCAGCATCAAGGCAGAACTGTCTTTGTTAGCCCTGATAGTCTAGTCTTCAATAGCTCAACCAATGGCAATTCCACAACCTCGTTGGCAGCTTGTTCCATTGCTCTGAAGGTCCTAAGCATTATTCAGTTTCCTAATATATCTTTGAAGTCTAAGCATCAGGGTTGAAACAACCAGGCACCCTAGAATCACAGGTTCAGATTTTAGCAGGATCAAGTCAAACAGTCATATTGCTGCTCTGGGCAAACTGAGTGCTGCAGACTTTGTGCTTAGATCTTTCAAAGGAGAACTTAAAGAGTTTCATGCTGATGTGGCCCTTTGGGACCCAACTTCCCTGATGTTTTGGGAGGGCCTGATTGTTACTCATTCCATTTTGTAAAAGATGGTTTACCCCAACTGGGGTTCATCCTATTTCAGTTGCATTAGGTCTTTCCAGAAGGTCTTCTCACGATAGTACCATGCTCCTTGGGCAGGTATTCGGTGTTGTGGTGGGACTGTTTGACACCTCTGGGAGCTAAATCTGGAGGAGCTAAGAGATGTTGCTTGCGCCAAGCCACAGTCTGCATGTTGGGATGTGGTGCTGCTAGAGATGAGCCTGAATCAGAACCCTTGTTCTAAATACCCTAAAGTTTCAGGAAGATTCATATCTTAATCCAGTCTTTGCCACATGGGCTCATCTTTAACTAGAAATGAATTCTTCCCCCTCCCCCCAGGTCTCCACACAAAGTCCTCTTGAATGCTTGTCAGTTGACAGGACAGGTTTATTTACTATGTATTTCTGCTCCAGCTGCAGGAGGAAGAAGACACAGCAACCCCTGAACCAGAAATTGACATTGAAGATCTTCTAGAGGTCTCCAACGAGGAACAGAAATCAAAACTACAGGTCAGACAGATTGTCCGTTCCTATTTATATTAAATATGGGAGCTAAGACCCTGTGTACACTCGAAAATTGACCTATTACTGAAAATACAAGTCAACAGTAGGTCGCTCTGGATTGGCGTAAACGCTTATGTGGATGATACAAAACCATCAACTCCATTCCAGAAACCAGGATTAAGGGCTGCTTTACACTCAGCTTTTGCACTGATTTAATCAAAGTGGTAGAGAAAATGATTTAGTTCAATCCTAATGTGGTTGCCGTTATACTGATATAAATCACTTATACCTATATAGCCACATCCGCACTAAGGGGTTGCACCGATTGAACTAACTTGGGTTTTTTTTCTACCAAGTTAGTTAAATTGGTGCACAAACTGAGTGTAGAGCAGCCCTAAGACTCAAGTATGGCTGCACAGAAACTTATCAGTTCATTCCACCAGGTGTCAACTACACTATCTGTAATAGTTTGGAAAACAATTCTGTTCGTGTAAGGTAGAGAACTCATCACCCACGGCACCCCCTTGTGTCAGGGTGCAATGCTGCAAGGGTCATCATCTCCTGTGCCATCTGCCACTTGTCAGGTATTCCACAGCTCAGCCCTCTGGCCCAGTCACATGAAGTTCAGTCCCCTTCCGGGTTAAAAAAAAAAACCCACCAAAAAGTCTTACAACAAGAGAGCCTTCAGCCACCTCTTGAGCTATTCCTCAGACTGTCCATTGGCTGAGTCTTTGGCCCCACCTGGGCTCAATATTCCTTCTGTTGGGCTTGCATACCCCTTCCTCAGGGGCTAGTAGGGGAAGAGAGGCCCCCCCTGTTCTGGCTCAAGGACCCTGTATTAAGAAGCTAGTTCTACTCCATCAGACATGCTGCAATTTCCCTGGGCGGCTTCCTACCTCCAAGCCACGTGTGCCGCTTCTCCACAGGTTGTATTTAACACAGCCTCCCTTTGGTTCCCAGGCCTCTCGCTTCTCCCTAGATCCTCCCAACTCCTCCTTTGCTGATTTATGAGCTTTTCTGCCCTTCTTGGGCTCCGCTAAAGTGTTTTTACTGACACTACCACTAGGCCTCTCCTCCACAGGAGCCTGATCTGCTCCTGCAGAGTTCTTCCTCTGTTCCTTCTGGTTTTAATAGGTTTCCCTCACTGCTGCCCTTCCTCAGGGACTCTGGCAATTTCCCCTAAGGCTCTTCCTGCTCCTTTTAGGCCTTTGCTCAGGGTTTCCCCCCAAAGTAACCTGTGCTTCCTATGGATCCTCCTCCCTGACTTCTTACCTGTTTAAGTCATCTCTCAGGGCTCCTACCCAGGAGAGCCAAAGCATGACCACTACTTCTACCTACAGGGTAGTCCTGCCTTTTCTGCAGTCTCTCCCCTCGACTGAGTTCTTTGACTCTGTGTTGTCTTTTCCTAACCCTTTCACAGTTGGGATCACTAACTAGTCTCAAACTGCCTTATCACCATCAGGCGTGGAATAACTGGTAGGTCACAGGCAAGGCTGAGCCTGGCTTATCTTAAAGGGCCAGCCAGCCTGTGAGTCCCATTCACACCCATTTGGGGGATCAATTGCTGACAACCATTGTCAGCAATAAGTCCCTATCCCATTGTACACAGGGCCAAAGTGTCCTATTTTTATGGCTTGTACACTTCTCCCATTTAATATGTGAACTGAACAATTCCTTATTCACGCTAACTGTCCCCAGTGATTTATTAGGGATGAGTGAGCTACTTCAGAAGTAACTCAAACTTTCACCCAAAGTTTGAACTAAACCTATTCTGAGATTAGAAAAATGTTGGTTACCTTTTAATGCAGTGGTTCTCATTCTCTCAGAAGGCTCTGTACTTCTGTGTTCCTAGCAGCAGCCAATGCAGAAAGGCCAAAAACCCCAAATGGAATAGCTGTTCTTGAGATATTTCTTGCCAAGACAGAAGCCTAAAGTATCTTAAATCACATAAGATTATGAGGCCTGTTCTTATGGGGTTTTGCAGCCCAGTTTTGCAGACACTCAAGGCTGGGTTAAGCCTCCAAATGTTTACGAGTTGATCCAAAATAACTCCTGAGAGTTTCGCAGTAATACTTAACTCCTATAGGGCTTGATACAAAGCCCATGGAAGTTAATGGAAAGAGTCACGCTGACTTCAGTGGGCTTTGGATCAGGGCCACGCAGTGTTCTTCAGATGTAGGTCTCAGAATGAAAGTATCATTACTAAAAACCATACTGGGAGCAGACTCTCTACACATCAGACAACGTACATACTGTGATAGCTTCTGGAGTCCTCTGGGGTGACACGATTAAAATACAGAACTGCTAACATGATCCAGTACTGTGGAACAGGAACAAAGTACAGAGCTCTACGTTGTACATACCAGTGTTTTGGTGACTGGGGGTCCTGGGATCTTCTGCGGCATTCAATGCAGAACAGCAGTGATGAGTATGGATCACGGAGTCCCTGAATGGTGTGGCATGATGTAGGTGATGGTGATCTCAGGCTCTGGAACATCGTTGGATCGCTTAGCACGCTAGATATGGCAGCCTTACATACTCTTCTTGTAGCTTAAAAAGGAAAAACAAATAGACAAACTCCTAAGAAACTAACATGAGTTTTGCCTTGCAGGAAATTCTTCATGAGTGTTCCAGACCTACAGAGGTGAGTGAAGCATCGTCAGTGAGCATTCAGTCTCAGTCTCATACTGTTCTGTGGCAATTTGGCTTGGCTCCACCTGATTAAATAGCCAGTATGCTCTGCAGATAGTTGAAGTTTGAGTTACCACACTTCTTTACTCTCAGGAGGTTTTTTTTATATTTTATTCCACACCACTGTAAAAACGAATATAAATATATATGAGTGAATGTAGAGCAGTGACCAATGAGGTTAATGACAGATGTGTGTTTCCTACAGTGTTCTCAGAATCTATTTCCTAGTTATAGAGACAAAGGAAAAATCAGAAGCAATAATGAGCTCTGAAAGAATAGACCAAGTAGGCAATGTAGTACTGTTAGTACATAATTGTAACTTGCCTCTGTAGTGTATCTCCATTGTATCTTGTCCAGTCCTTGTAAATGGCTGCACAAAGTTTAACATACAGAAAATAGGGCTGGCGAATGATTCACATAGAAATCAGACTTAACCAAACTAGTCTGCAGAAACCGAGCCAGAATCCGGCTAACTCAGGATTGGCAGGCAGCCCCGCCATCAAGGCTGACTGCGGGGCTCTGAGAGGCCATCTCCAAATCACAGGCAAGAGCACAAGGCTAATTGTGCCCACATGGATAACCAGCAGCAGTTTGTGTAGTTCACTGGCTTAATGAATGTGATCATGTTGCTGCCCCCAGCAGCTATGACAGCCACCTAATAACTAACTGAATTCGTGTTTTCTTAGCCCAAGAGTCTGTGCTAAAGGTTTTTAGTTCAATGATCTCTGCTGATCCCGGTGTCTGTAATGTGTGCAGCCGTGGGTCCATTACACTCACATTTCAGGAGTCCATATACCAAACAAGCACATCGAGAAAAGTACCAGATACATGGGAAAGGGGCTGACTAAGTGCAAGCTTCATACGCCTAACTGCCACTTTAAGCACTACTGGCATTCACAAAACCATCATTCAGCTGCTGCCTAACTCTGTAGGCACCTACATTTCTGCCCGAGGGGATGCACAAAACTACCCAACCTGAGCTGCTCCTTGCCTAATTCATGCCTAACCCCTGAAGGCTTTGCAATCTAGATCTTCTCCTGCCTGTTTTGCCTGTGGGGCCTGATCCTGTAGGCATGCTTAGAGCACAGGTAAGCCCCACAAAAGACAGCAAGGAGGAAGATAGGTGCTAGTGCCATCTCCCAATAGCTCAGTGATTAGTACGCTCACCCACAGTCTGGGAGGCCAGGGTTCAAATACCCCTCTGCAGGATTCAGATCAGCAAGTTGAACCCAGGTTGCATACCTTCCAGGAAAGTCCCCTGTGTGTTAAACATCCACTGGGCCAGAGAGAGCGTAAGAATGACTCTGTTGGTTGGTTAGGTATCTCAGGGTGCTGGCCTCTGTGGATCCCTTTTTAAGGCACCTCAATCTCCTCATACAATGCATGGGCACCTAACTCAGGGTTGTGAATTCCACCGGGCAGCAGGTCATCTAAAAGGCTGAGCAACGCCTAACACTCCCCTTGTGAATCTAACCTTACGATACAGTTTTGCAAATTCACCGGGAACATGCAGCAGTAGATTAAACTCAGCTCTGTGAAGTCAGGCCTCCAATACACCTGCATGATTTAAGCAGGAGACTTATCAGTCCACTGTGTGCACACTGGTTTCTGCAGAATGCAAAGACCGTAGAGCGTTGTGTTAGATAGGGGAGGGGTTTAGGTTACCTGATCTATTTTGGTTGTTATGGAGAGGGTGGAATTTGTGCTACTTACAGTGGCGGCCATACAGAATGACCAGATGCCTTAGTTTTGAGGGATAGTCCTTGACAGTTTGGGTGAAACCTGGGTTTTTTCTGTTTCACTAGAACTGGTCAGGTAACTGCCCTTCCACCTGGTCAGCCCATCCTCACCCCCTGCTAATGTTTGTCCTCAAACACACACATGTGTTATTTCCCCCTTCCTACTTCCTCACTGAAGCAAGCCAGCTATTATGGGTCACAGTGTGGGATGCCCTGTAATCCACTCCATAGTAGTACGGCCAATTCAGCGAGGAAGCAGCAAGTATATTTTGGCCCAGCTATTGAGAGCAGCAGGACGTGGATGGGAGGTTGCAGTGGAAGTAGGGGACTCCATGCAAAAACAGTGGACCCTAATAGAGGCAGCTGTACTCTGAAGTTATCTAATGGTGGGAACAAACAGGCTCCATGGAGAGGACAGGGTGGGCTGCCTGGGAAAGAGAGACAAAGTGTGTGTGACCTCTCTGAAGAGAGTTGGAAGAGAGGGGAGGCTGGGGGATGGGAAAAAGGATTGGGCATTTTCTCCACTCTACCTGGCTCTCCCTCGCTGACAAAAATCTCACCCTCCCCTCTCCAAACAAAACGGCGGGACCTGTTCTGCACTCCAACGTTCTGGTCACTGGACCGCTGCTAAATATGAAGGGCAATAAGGGGGAATGCAGCAGGCGTGTGACTCTTAGAGCTGTGGCTGAGCACAATAAGCATTAAAGCCTTTTGACTGACTCTCATTCCAGGACTTCATTACGGAACTGCTCAGTCGACTGCAAGGTCTCAGGAAAATCCCTCAAAGGAAATAATCCTATCCATCATGAGAGATACCCCCGTTCCATCCTGTATCACTCACATGGCATTGGGTGGCTCCCTGGGACAGAGAATCAGATTCATGTTGGAAGATCATGTTACAGTTTTTCTAGGACTTGGTGTTCTGAGAAGAACCATCTTAGATACTTTCAGCATCCCATTCCAGCTTCATGTTCACAGGGAGGGGCTTGTGTGTGTATCTTGCTGATAATTAAAGAGCTGTTATGTTAGGGGAGAGGGCTGATCCCCTTCTTTTCTTTTTCATTCATTTTCTTTTTGAAGGAACCTCTCCTTTGGCTGAGGAAGCGTTGGACACAGCTCCCTTTGGAGCCCTTCATTGGCTGTTACCCAACTTTCACCAGGGACAGGGAGTTGCTATTTCACTGCTCCCAGCCCCTGCCTGTGAACAGACCTCCTGGTTCTAGGCCAGCACATGGACAAAGGGCCACTTCTTATATTTTTCTAGTCACAGTTTTTATTAATCATCCCTCCCTGGTGGAAAGCTGGGCAGAAAATACACTCCCTGGAGCTTTTCCTTCCATCCGACTGTATGTCCCTCAGGTTGATTAATATTTGTGGGGCATGGGACTTTTTAATGAGCTAGCAGCACCTCAAACTAATACGAGGACCTGCAAGGGATTTTTAAGAGACTGCACAGCTGCCTGTTGTGACAGGGTCAGGCCAGATGGCTACAGGAGAGTGATAGAAGGCAGATATGTTAGCCCCAGGTTAAGCAGGTCCCTTTTTCTTGGGTAAGGTAACAGGTAAGGTTCCAGAACAATCAGAAACAATTAAGGCAGACAGTCTGATTAGAACACCTGCAGCCAATCAAGAAGCTGCTAGAATCAATTAAGGCAGGCTAATCAGGGCACCTGGGTTTAAAAAGGAGCTCACTTCAGTTTGTGGCATGCGTGTGAGGAGCTGGGAGCAAGAGCTGCAAGAAGCTGAGAGTGAGAAGGTGTACTACTGGAAGACTGAGAAGCACAAGTGTTATCAGACATCAGGAGGAAGGTCCTGTGGTGAAGATAAAGAAGGTGTTGGGAGGAGGCCATGGGGAAGTAGCCCAGGGAGTTGTAGCTGTCACGCAGCTGTTACAGGAGCCACTGTAGACAGCTGCAATCCACAGGGCCCTGGGCTGGAACCCGGAGTAGAGGGCGGGCCTGGGTTCCCCCCAAACCTCCCAACTCCCTACTTGATACTGGAAGAGTTGAACTGGACTGTGGGTTCCACCAGAGGGGAAGGTCTCTGGCCTGTTCCCCGATCCACTAGGTGGATCAGCAGAGACTGCGGGGATTGTTCTTCTTCCTTTCCCCATGCTGGCCAGTGATGAGGCTAACTGAGTGAACGGCGGATTTGAGCCATGAAAGTGGCCAAACTGAGGGCTGCCGTGAACCTCTGAGGCGAGAAAATCTGCCAATAAGTGCAGCACCCACCAAGGCAGAGGAGGAACTTTGTCACACTGTGTAAGGGCATTTTGAAAGACGCTCAATTTGTAGATTAAAATGCTTAGAAATCCAGACCTGCTTATGATGTGAGGGTTTTTGTTCTGCATTCAAAGAGGAAATGCAGATAGGGAAGAAAAATCTAATTAAAAGACTATCAACCCAGGGCTGGTTAAGTGCTCTCTTCGGGGGGGAGCATCTTGGAAACCGTTCAGGAAGGGAGAGGTTCAGCAACCCAAAGGGGATGTAGGAGGCAGAGCCTTGTGTCTCTGTACCACCTCTTCTACGTGGAGCAGGAGTCGGACTCGTAAACCACATCCAGAGAGACAGTAACTTGGCAAGAATGGGGTGGAAATAAGATGGCAAATGAAGAAGGATCACTTAGAGTCGGACAACTCCCATCAGGTAGAAGAGACTCTTGGTTCTCCCCCCAGCCCCGCGCACCCACACGCACTCTCCTAAACACAGAGGGGAAGCTAAGTCTCTGTGGGAGAGAAAGTCCCATGTCCCAATATGCTAGTGACCAGACTACTTGGTTTGTCACACAGTGTTCCGATTTGTCACACAGTGTTGCAAAAAGAGGGGCTAGCGACTACAGTGCAAAGGAGCCCTGCAGTGTTAAGGCCAGTGCTTCTGACAGCTAACGATAGAAACCGACTGAAAGTCGTGGGCCAGACGAGAAATCCCTACATGTTTTAAATCTTAAATTAATCAGTCCCCTGTCCTAGTTAATGAGAGGGTGCGGACTGATACATTGGTCCCCTACCCTAGAGTTCAGAGCACACCACCAGGAGGGCAGAGAAAATGGCTGTTCCCTGGCTGAGATAAGCATGTGCCCCTGAATTGGTTGGCTGGTTTTTGCCTTCACACCCTTTTTGAAGCCGATGTGCCATATAGCCAGTCTTGGGAGACTTATCCCCCCCAAGTTCATCCCTAGCCCTATGGGTACTTCAAGCTTTACCTGCAGTGTGAGGATAGTGTGACTGTGCCACATTCTCTCTGCCAGCTGCATGCCCATCGGTGTGGCCATGTGGGAGTGGTGGGTAATGGGTCTGTCCTTCCTGTACCAGTGTTGGGACCTTGGGACATGCTTGGCAGGCCATCATCTGGCCTTGGCACATGGAATAATCTTGAAAACTTCCTTCAAAGCTCAACTCTACAAATTAAATAAAAAGGAGGAGTTAAAATGCCGAAAAGATAAGAGATGATGCTGGGCCAGAGCCTTAGCTGGTGTAAATTGGCATAGCTGCCTTAAGCCAATAGATCTACACTGATTTACACCTGCTGAGGTTCTGACCTTTATCATTTCACTGCCACTCAGAGAGCAGGCCAAAAGCCAGCCCAGCCAAAGAGTTAATTAATCCACTGAGAGCTGATAAAAATGTTGGCAGTTTACCTGACAAAACAAATTATGATCTTTCTTGCCCAACACCTGTTTTACAAGATAGTCTGGTCTCTGCCAGGCCAGGACCTTAGTCAAATGTAGCAAAGGATCAAACTGAGGTGAAGGTGGAAGATCCAGTTTTCACAAGGGATCAGCAATGAGCTGAGCAGACTGAACTAGAGTTATGACATTCCCCAGAGGTTCACGTAGCTGCCATGGGAACAGAGATGTGCACTTGTGCAAGTCTTCGCTTGTATTCTACTGGCCCAATGGGTTCTGCTTGTTGAACCCTATTTGACTAGGGAGAACACAAAGGAGCTGAAATGTCTCTGCCCTTGCACCATCCTGGATGTTATCCTTATGGCTGGACTCACCCCCCACCCTGCCTTTACTCTGGGTGCCATGGAGGGACTGGGGCCATGCCCTGTGTCAGGGATTGTTAAAAACAGGCTCTGCAAGGCATTTTTAAAAATAACCTGTTCCACCTTCACATGCTCTCCTCAGCAGACACAGTCCAAGTGGGGAGGAGCAGTCAAGCCCTCCATGCTGCAGTGCTGGTGTACCAGCCCCAAACATGGTAGTGCTGGAGACCTAAACTCTAAATGAAACCCCCCACAACACAGCAACAATTCAGGGCAAGCCCTAGCATGAATATGGGTCTTGGAAAAACTCAGGGACTTAGGTAAGTAATGTTAAAATTCTGTCTCAAAATATATTTGCCTATCAGCCAGGAACCGCTCCAAAAATCCATTCTGATTTCTCAGATCAATACAGGAGAGAGGGGAAATTAAGAGGATCTGTTAAAGTTAAAAAATCATATTTAAAAAAAAAAACTTATAAAATGGCAAGTCTTTTTTTCAATGGAAAGAATTCTTAAAATCTAAATACAGTATGTTGTTATTTATTGATTGGATTTATTTTGGCCTAGGCCATGAAAATAGACTAGCCAATTTTGCTGTTGTTTACAATCAGTTTCTAGTTACTTTTATTATCCTGGTTCTCAGGCACTAGCCCAAACCTGCCAGGAGGGAGTTGCAAGTATTGCATGGGAATGTTTGTTTAAAAACACCCCCTCTTTTGATTAGAATGTTTCCAGCAGTGTTTTATTGTATTTATCTAGGGTTTACACATTACAATTGAGTATCTTGACCCATGTGCATGAAATAAAGATTTCCCCCCTAAATCATGCTCCTAATAACACCTCTGAGCTCCCCTCTCAAATATTCGTTTTTAACTCTTCTGATGTCATAACCACTCTCAATTCTCCAGCAAAAAAAGGCAAGATCTGATATTTCAGATGCAGAAAAATCAAAATTTTCTGGGCAGAAAACCCTTTCAGGCCCTTTCTATCCCTCAGAAAGAAGCAAAAAAGGGCACAAGACCAATTTTGTTTCTTTTGCAGATACAGTGCTCTCCCTTCATTTGCACAGCTGTTACTCAGGATTTCATGGCTTTTGTTGAGTTAATCTAAACACCTACCAGTGTATTTTCAAAGCACTGGACAAGGATAACACCACACCAGTCCATTGAAGATAATGGAAAGATGTTCAGGGCTTTAGCCATACAACTCTTTTTTAAAGCATGCTTAAATAAGGTTCACAGTATTTGTCTTTCCCAAAGAGACAACCAAAAAGGTTAGTCTGTCTACCCCGCTGCAGACCGCCCTCTTTCCCCACACTACAGAAGTTGATAAGCTAGTGATGGAGTCTAATACATTTCAAGGGGAGGGTTGCACAGAAAAGGCCCATTATTGCAAGCAGAGGGTTCAGCATCCACAAAAGTTCATTTTCTGTGGAGAGGCGAGGGTCAGTCTGTGTGACCAAAGCAAATAAAGAGACGCTCCCATATGTGACTAGGTATTAAACATCAGTTCCAGGACATGCCTTTCTGTGTTCAACAAGATCAGCCCACAGAAACCAGTTTGGAAAGCTGGGCAAGCCAACAGGCTGGCTCAAGCTGTAACCTACCACTTGCTTTCCTCATGAGACTCACTTGGCAGAGCGCACAGGGCCACCCTGGCTGACTGTATAAATAGCTACAAGTTCAACTGTGGCTGAGGAAGCCAGGAAGTTCAATAGGACGGTGCTGAGACTCACCTAGGCATAAATAACCCACAGGTCAGGGTGAGGTGTTTAAGAGAAGTAGCTGTGAAGCAAAGAATTGAATGCACATAGTCTGAATGTCTGGAGGGGAGTCAGGCTTAAGACCTACTGCCGGAGCAGTCTGGACAAATAGTACAGAGAGAAGCCTCTTAAAAATCAAACAGACAGCAGACATTTGAACAGCAGTTACTCCCCTCTCCCCCTGAAAATACTGAGCCACAAAGGGAACAAGGCAGTCACTTTCTGTAAGTGTGGGTGGTTAGGTATCTGAGTAATCATTCCAGTCCAATAATTATGAAATGGCTCTCACTCCTACACAGTAAAACCCAGACATGAATCTTGGTTTAATCTTTTAGACTGTAACCTCCTCAGACCAGGAACTGTCTATTATCATCTTGTGAGTACTGGGCTTTTTGTCACCATTACATCATCATAATCCAGTACCTTTCCTATTCAGCTATCCCAAAGCTCTGTACTAAGGAGTTAGGCCCTGCCACTGTTAATATAAACAGAACTTCAGCCACTGATGGCTTACTCAGAACCATATTAGAGAGAGTGAATTTTGCCAGGTCAGTGCATGACCAACAACTTTGGTCTTAGGGATCTGTGACGTGCACAAGAACAGGCACCAGAGATGGGCAGGAATAGAGCTCCATTTAACATATTCATTCATAGGAACAGAAATATGTGGGGGTAGTGGAGATAGCAGGGGGTGGTATCTTTAGTCTACCAGAGATTCTAATAATTGTATCAGGCCACATTCTGCTCTCAGACAAATGTGTGCAACTCCCATTGACTTCAACAGAATTCTCACACACCTATTTGACAACAGAATTCAGCTCATTATTAGTATTTTACATTTACAAAGCACCTTTCATCCTGAAGGACTCCAGAATGCTTTTCAGATACAGGAATGACATCATCCACCAATAAAATGCAGCCGCTACTGTGGTTGAACCCAGCTGCTGTTTAGCAAGCCCCCAGAAATGCTACACTACAGTTTTAAGTCAGCTCACGGCCTCTCAAATCGAGACAGAGTATGTCAAAAAACAGCAAGTCCTTTCATTTCATTTTTTGATCCATCTGGCATTGGAACTGAGGTCATAGGGCATGACTGCAGGATGACACCCTGTAAGACAATTTCTGAAAATTCTCAAGAGATTTCCCTATACACATTCCTTTATTACACCTCAGAGATTCTTATCACATATCTGATCAAGCCTTGAAGAATTTTATCTTTTCTTAATTTAACTTGCCTTGTCATCTTTTTTGAACAAAATGTGTAAATTATTAGTAAAAGCAGGAAATTATTCATCACGCAGCCTCACAGTGGCTTAAATTCATGCTCTTTCCCTGGCTTTACCATCATCCAAATACCCCCTGGTTTAAACTCATGCTATTTACATTTATACCAATTCATCCATTTTCTAATGTTCCATTGGTTTAAACTCTCATGTATGCAGAGCATATGCTTCACTCCCAGCCATATTTCCCTGGCTATGTTTGGGGAGGGGAGTCACATTTTCGCCAAGCTTCTTTGGAATTACAGAGGTTCCTCGAATTGTTCAAGAGGTCCTCTGTTTTGGTAGCAAGTGCATGTCTGCCTGAACTCTTCCCATCTTGACAACTCCCTCTGTATCTCCATTTTCCATCTTCTTCCCTTTCCACAGCTCATGGACTCATTTCTGCTTACGAGGAGGACGATAGCTAGATGTGCGGTGCTCCTTCCGGTCAAGCTCATCATGGCCTTCCCTGAAAGGCAAACAAGAATTGAAGATGGCGTTTAGCAATGGTAGGTTGTGCAGACTGGCCTTCCCAGCAGTAGCAGCTGCATAGAGCCTCATCCAACTAATGCAACCAAAAGATAATCCCCACTGACACATTTAACTAACCGAGGAATTCTCCCTTGGGCCACCATTGGCTGTATTAAGACTGACAGCTGAGGGTTTTTTTTTTTTTTTTTAACATCGCCCTGGAAAGTTCTTTATGGAGAGGAAGACTGCCTGCTAATTTAGAAAACTTCATTTTGTCCTCTGACTTCTGGAGAGAGAAATGACAAAGGGTCTCTCTGAAATGTTCATGTAATTAGTGATACATTCTCAGGACAGTGGGTAAGAGACATGCAATAAGAGCTGTGATTATAATCTGTTGCATATGGCACTGCAAATGAAATGTAGAGGGCAAAATCCCAGCTCAATTAATTTCTGCTCATTTTCAGGCAGGTAGGATTATTTATTGACTGAAGACACAAACCCTGATCTTCAGCGTACAGCTGATTTAATTTAATACCCTGCCATTCTGCTGCTTTTCTCATCTCTGCCTCTTACAGCTCCATTATCTGGCTGATGTGTTTTTCCTTAACCTTATTTAGCATTACCAGTTACGCATGTCCTTATTATTTTAATATATTCTCTCTCACCGCCCCCTCCATTGCACTGGTCTCTGCAGAGCCACCAACAGGCCATGAAATGACAGAATGAACATCAGAGATCATCTCAATCTACCATCTGGTTTCTGTTTCACACTTCAAGTTAGTCACTGTCCATTCAACACTACCCTTGGAAATCAAGCAACTCCAGTGCTTTAGAAAGAGAAATAATGATGAAAATAAATTAGAAGCCCAGACAGAACAGTCTTGCACTGAAGGAAAATAGCTTCTTAAACCAGAGATTTATAACATGCTGCCAGAATGCAAAACCTTTAGGTCAGGGGTGGCCAACCTGTGGCTCCGGAGCCACCTGCAGCTCTTCAGAAGTTAATATGCGGCTCCTTGTATAGGCACCGACTCCGGGGCTGGAGCTACAGGTGCCAACTTTCCTGTGTGCCAGGGGGTGCTCACTGCTCAACCCCTGGCTCTGCCACCGGCCCTGCCCCCACTCCACCCCTTATCGCCCCTCTCCTGAGCCTGCTATGACCTTGCTCCTCCCCCCCAGAGCCTCCTGCACACCACGAAACAGTTGATCGGGAGGTGCAGGGAGAGAGGGGGAGGCACTGATCAGTGGGACCACCGGTGGGTGGGAGGTGCTGGGAATGGGGGGTGGAGCTGATGGTGGGCGGGCGCTGACTTATTACTGTGGCTCTTTGGCAATATACATTGGTAAATTCTGGCTCCTTCTCAGGCTCAGGTTGGCCACCCCTGCCTTAGGTGTTTAAAAGTTAAAGTTGCAATTATTGCATTGCTCAACTGAGAGTTAGCAGCTTTTGGTACATAACATGTAGAGACTCTCCAATTTCAAGTGCTTCAGGAACCACCAGATTAAAAAAAAAAAAAAACAAAAACGGAAATTTCACATGGTCTAAGGCCATGGTTCTATCCTTGTAGATCCCACACTTTCCTCCTAGCTGATCTCTCTGCCAGTGACAATCTGTTCTGACCAATCCTTCAATATCCTTAACAAACCACAGGAATTGCCAAACCTGAACAATGGTCTCGCGCATCTTGCCTTCAGCAGTGGCTAGTGTAACATGCTTCAGAAAAAGGCATAACATCCTCACCATGATACACCTAGAGCACACAATACTATAGTACAAAAGGAACATTTTTTCCTGATCCCAGTTTATGCCCTGAAGCATGAGGATAGTGCTTGTACTTCCATGCTAGCTAGTTTAGCTAATCGTGCTATAAAACTATATCCTGAAAGGCCGAGATAACCATCTGACTCTTGAACTTCTCAAATTTCTCCTTCTCTTAGGGGCTCTTCCATTTAGTGGAAGAAACACACACTAAACCATGCAACATAAAAGGTTGTTACAAGGAGGAGGGAGAAAAATTGTTCTCCTTAACCTCTGAGAATAGGACAAGAAGCAATGAGCCTTAAATTGCAGCAAGGGCAGTTTAGGTTGGACATGAGGTAAAATTAACTGTCAGGGTGGGTAAGCACTGGAATAAATTGCCTAGGGAGGTTGTGGAATCTCAGTCATTGGAGTTTTAAGAGCAGGTTAGACAATCACCTGTCAGAAATGGTCTAGATAATACTCAGTCCCCTGCACTCATGGCAGGACTAGACTAGATGACCTCTCGAGGTCCCTTCTAATCTTACACTTCTGTTATTCTAACTTGGCATGGAGAACTAGGTTTCATCTTGATGGGTATCTCTTGCCTAAAGGCGTTGTCGCTGTTACCGGAAGCATCGCTGGCAGTAGAGATCATCATCACAGCCATGGCAGCGTAATGTGGCATTTTCGTTGCAGATACAACACCATGGTAACTCCTCATCATCACTGTCTTCTGCCTTAGCAATTGGGCTGGGTTTCTTAGCACTAGCTGTGGCAGTTGGAGCTTGGATCTAATACCGGAATAAATCAGATAAATAAAAATCAGGGGTCAGATTAGGATAATTTAGGAGAATTAGACTGAACTATGCTGGGTGAGGATGGTCTCACCTGGGACAGCAACTGGGGAGGATTTTTACATTGTGATTCTGTCCAGAACAGAGACATACAGCACTTACATATATACTACTTCAGTGTCTTTACATCAAGGGTGTCCAACCTTTGCAGACACCAAACTCTGCACAGCAAGCTTGCCTGGAGTCCAAGCACTTGTTTTCACATGCATTTACCTAATTCTCTAACTAAAAAATAAATGCTCCCACCCAGATTTCATATGCTTTTATCTTCCTGATAGGCAGATAGTTTCTCCTACTTCTTTGATGTCACCATCATCATCCACCTACAGTTATTATCTTTGTTGTGGCAAATGGCAATACTTAGAGGCCCCAGCCAGGATCTCACTGGGCAAGGCACTGTTCAGGCAAGAAGAGACAATCCCTGCTGCAAAGAGCTTACAGTCTAAACAGCCCAGACAGACAAGGGGTGGGGGAAAGGAAGTATTACTCTCTCTCCACTTTGTAGATGGGGAATCGAGACAGAGAGAGGCTCTGTGACTTGCCCAGGGTCACAGAGAAATTCTGTGGTAGCGCTCAGAATGGAACTCAAAATTTCCGAAGTGCAATGCCTTAACTACGAGACCATCGGTCTCCTTAGATTTATACTGCCCTTGCGCTGATAACAGTTTTGTTGTTCCCAGGATATGAGAGAGAGAGACAAGGTGGATGACGTAATATCTTTTATTGGACCAACTTCTGTTGATGAGAGAGCCCTGAAGAGGAGCTCTGCGGACCTTGAAAGCTTCTCTCTTTCACCAACAGAAGTTGGTTCGATAAAAGATATTACCTCACCTGCCTTGACTCTTTTATGGTGCAAAGCAGCCATAGGGAGAACCTTAGCACTCCGGAAGCCACATATCTATTTGGAGAAAGCGTCAGAACATTCTTCAAAGATTGCAAAAACAGTTTCCTAGCAAAACAATAAATAGAGATGGGTGAATAACTGATTTTTCCATTTGGTAGCAGTTACAATTAAAAAAAAAATTTGGATCAGGTTGATCCAAAGCGAAATTCTTTTGAACATTTTAACAAAACCAAAAAGTTGAAAACAATCTTGTTTCAGGTTGAATGAAATGTTTAATTTTACCTGAAATGAAAACTTTGTTTTAGATTTAGAGGATTAAGGTTTTTATTTTTTTAAATAAAATTAAAGGAAATTTCTAATGAAAAAGTTGTTTTGAATAAAAAAAGTCAAACCATTTCATTTTGAAAGTGTCAGAAAACTAAACTTTTCAGTTTTCTGAGAGTTTTTCTTTTTTCCACAACTAAAACCATTTGGCACATGAGACAAATCTGCAAAATCTTTTGGTCAAAAAAATTTGGCCCAGCTCTAATGGTAAGTTTGTTTTTATAATAATATAATTATATTCACACTAATGATCGTGAAAGGTCAGGGTAACAAAGCTTTAACACTGACACATTGATCACTTCTGTAATTAAAAGATGTTTTCCCACTGAGGACGGATACTTCAGTTACATGGAGATCACAGATTCGTTTCATTCTTCTGACATGTAACAGAGAGCGTGTGCATGCTGCTATGCTACAGGCTGGAATTGCCATGAATATATGGCATCCTTTTACTAATTCCCTCCACTGACATTATAAGAGCTACTTGATTACTACTGCTCTCTACAGGCCTGATCCTACACCCATTGGAGCCAGTGGAAAAGCTCCCACTGACCGCAGCAATGCAGGATCAGGCTCTCTAGTAGCAGACTGTAGTTTATGTTCTGTGTAATTACACTGATGGGTTAGGAATCCCTTCTCTTGTATCTTCCCTGCTGGCTATATGCCAACCAGGTCCTCTGATTGCAGAGGGTGCCATTCAGTCCTGCAGATAGCTGGTTTTCAGGGAGCCATGCTCCAGATAGAGAGCCCTGTTAAAGCTTGCCAGCAGGGGGCAGAGGCAAAGTACAGTCAGTGTTGGCTGGCCTTGGAAAAGCCAGTTGAGACATTCACCTCCTCATCCTGCCAACCTAGGGAAAGCTGGTTGGTAGCTCTTTGCCATGCTCTGGTTTTGGGAACTTCCAGTACCGTAAATACCATTGTAAGGCAGCCTCAGAGCAGGACTGAGATTTGCGTTACACTAAGCTGTGTTGTATCAGGAACTGGAACAGGTCATTTCAAGAGGGTTTGACTGGCTCACAGACCTTTAGCTTTGCTTTCTTGGGTGTGTTCTGCTGTGAGGTTGCTGGGTGGGTGGCCTGATCAGCAGGGATGTTGAAGCCGCTTGCTTCATCCAGAGCTGCTTCCTGTGTGAGCTGGGAACAAAAGAAAGCAAGAAGTCTTTTGCTTCAAACTCCTATGTGAGCCTCTCTCCTGGAGCAAAACCTCTTTCCCCTCTCTTAATCTCAAAACTCTCTAGAGATGCCCAAATGTTATAGCTAAGAGGTCTGCAGGGAGGGAGAACTGCCTTTATAAAGTGAGCTGCACTGTATCATCTCCTGCTTAGGGGCAGGGATGTCAGATGAGTAACAATCAAGAGAGAAAGGGGAAAGAGAGAAAATGTGTGCATGAAAGGGAAAAACACAAGAGGCTGGCACGGGCCTGCGTACTCCACGGCTAGCAGGACCTACATTCTGTGGCAAACTCCAGAGATACATGGGGCTCTTGAGACAGGGAAGTCGCATATCCACACAGGAAGGAACCAAGAAAGGGCAAGTCAGATGCACACAGTGACAGAACATAGTCTGCAACCTTAGCCAGCTGGGCTACAGAACTGCTCTGCTAACCACTTTGAGGAGGAGTTAGTTTTAGACGTGAAAGATCTGAGAGAGCAAGACCCTGGCCCAGGGACAAACAACAGGGTCATTGCACACTGAATAAGTAACAAAAATGCTAGGATTATTTAAAAGGAAAGCAAGCAGAGTCCCAACAGCTGATCCTGACCTGTTTTAGGACTCGCTGAATGGCTTCTTCCTCCGTCAGCTCCTCATCACTATCAGGGAGCTTGTAGTTTTCCAGAGTAACTGCAAGAGGAGTGGAAGGTTATGAGGCTACAGTGAGCTACACTTGAATAGCACCTGTTGCCATTTCACATCTCAAAGGACGCTGTCTGTGCTCGGCATGGGGAGTTGAATTTGATCTTGCATCACAACCCTCGACCCAGTTCTGTTTTTTTGCAAAGCAGACGGTACACTGAAGGGAACGCACAATGGCATCTCCTTTTGGGATGGGTCTGTGTGTAAGGGAGATAACATTTTCTTTCAAATTTTTAAAAGTTGGGGGTGGAGGAAGGAAAAAAAATGTATTTTAAGGGGCATAATTAAACAAGTCTTGGCACGTTGGAATTAGCTGTAGGCTGGGTATGGGGCAAAGGGAGTTAATCTACACAGCTTCACCCATGGGCCTTAACCCCTAGCTTTCATAATCCTGGACTACTCCATACAGCTTAACAACTGGACTCCAAATCCTGTCATGAAGGGACCGTCCATTTCTAGTAGAGACGTGATTCCCTCAAGCTGTAACTGCTTCCCATTGCTAAATGGAGGTTAATCTTCATGTAAAGGCACCAACTTCTCCCAACAAGACAAAGAGACGCTACCACCAAGCTAACAACGTCCTTTTCTTCTTCAGCACAAGCTAGTGTTTCTTCCTATTACTCACCTTTCTCGGGGTCCTGGCCTCTGAGTGCTGCCAGTCTCTTTGCAACTTCTAGGATTTTCTCCTCCCTAGTGTTCTCCTCCCTCAGCTCAGCAGCAGCCTCTGCCAGAAGTTTATTCTTCTCCTCCTCCAGCTGTTTTGGGTCCAGATCAGCAGTGCTGATGCCACTCTGACTTCTCCGATTGAGATCATTCAGGGTCTGGGTATTAACAGCTGGAAAACAGCCAGACAAAGCATGTAGGTGTTACAATGGCAACCACCTCCAGGCATAGCACATGCCATTAAAAGAATGGGCTAAGAGTAACAGAACTCTTGTCTCATCTTGTGGAGAAGTCTGCTGTTCTACTGCACAGCTCTCTCTTTTCCATAGCTAAAATTACTGATGAGTTTCAAGATACATGAGTCACACAGTAGCAGGACCCTTGTATGTGGACATAGTAACTAAGTCACAGTGCAGTTTTTATTGGGGTCCCATGGAAGACACCCCCTTTTGAGAAGAACACATTACAGCAATCAAGAGAGTTTTAAGCAAACCACAGGGGATGTTGGGCATGGCTCTGGCCAGACTAGCGTCTCAAGATCTTGACTACTACCATGTGAACCATCTAATAGAACATGGAAGGACTGGAAATTCTAAAAATTGTTCCTCCCCAGACGGGGCTACCATAAAAAAACCAGAGAAAAATAATCCAACAAGATTACCATTGAAAGGGGAAACATAACCACACGGGCTGAGACAATGACAAATCAACATAGGTCTGGTTTTCTGCTCTTGGTCAACATTGTGTGTTGGTAAGGGGGAGGTAGGGATAAGGCAGGATACTTGGCACACTTTTAAGCCTGGTGGTTTCGGAGGTACCTGCTTCCTTCTCATTAGGACACACATCATGGTGTATGTAGTGTCCTTAAGGAAAACTGTTTGAGGCCAATGATAACCGATACCTTGAGGCTGGGCTCCTGGACTAGAACTCTCATCAATGGCAACTTCCTCAGCCAGCTGGGTCAACAGATCATCAGACTGTTGGACTTGGGTTCTGGTATCAGGGGGCTGGTGCACCTGGAAAAAGAGAGAGGTCACGTTGGAGAAAGCTGTAGGAGAGTGTTAAACAGGTGATGGAAGGAGACAAATTGAAAAATCTGAAAAATTGTGTAACCTATTATGAGACTATCCTAATTAGGACCAAAATTTTCAAAAGCGTCCAGTAATGCCAGGTGCCTCCATTTTTGGGTGCCCAACTTGACATGCATTGGGCCTGATTTGCAGAGATGTTGAGCTCGCACAGCTTCTATTGAAGTCAACCGGCTAATCCAAGCACAGAACTGGGAGCCAGGAACTGATGCGATCTAATCCCAGCTCTGATACGGATTCTACTGTGACACTGCGCCCGACATTTAGGCACCAGAATAAGTGGACCAATTTTCACAATTGTTGGGCAACCATATAAGTCAGTGGAAATTGTTTTGAAAAAGGAGAGAAAGTGGCTAGGACCCTAAATTGAAAAAACAACTAAATCCCAGTATAGACAGTGCTAGGCTGATAGAATAATTCTTCCATCAACCTAGCTACCATTTCTCAGGGAGCTGGATTACCTTTGCCAAAAGGAGAATCCCTCTTGTCAGCGTAGGTAGTGTCTACATCGGGGTGGGCAAACTTTGTGGCCCGAGGGCCACATCAGGGTTGCTAAATGGTATGGAGGGCCGGGTATGGAAAGCTTTACCTCTGCAAACAGCCTGGCCCCCACTCCCTATCCGATCCCTCCGACTTCCCGCCCCCTTCAGAACTCCCAACCCATCCAACCCTCCCTGCTTCTTGTCCCCTGACCACCCCCTCCTGGGACCCCCTGCTGCTAACCGCACCCCCTATCCAACACCCTCAATCCCTGCCCCCCCCGAATCCCCGCCCCCATCCAACACCCCCAATCTCTGCCCTACCCCCAGAATCCCCGCCCCCATCCAACCCCCTCACTCCCTGTCTCCTGACCGCACCCTCCCCCCAGAACCTCCACTCCATCCAAGCGCCCCGTCCCCTGACTGCCCCCTGGGACCTCCTGCCCCTTATCCAACACCCCCCCCCTCCCCGCCCCCTTACCATGCCACTCAGAGCAGCAGGACAGGCTTATTGGAAAGCCTGGGAGGTGGGTGGGCGCAAGCCGTGCTGCTGCATGGCTGCGGGTGAGGGGGAACAGCGGGGGAGGGGCCGGGGGCTAGCCTCCCCAGTTGGGAGCTCAGGGGCCGGACAGAACAGTCCCACAGGATGGAAGTGGCCCACGGGCCATAGTTTGCCCACCTCTGGTCTACACTGAAGTGTTGCAGTGGAAAAGCTGTACTGCCTTTGTGTTTTACGTGTAGACAAGCCTTTAATCTCTCTGAGCCTTTGTTTCCCCTGTAAAATGGAGATAATCACACTTCAATACCTCCCAGGGGTGCTGTGAGGATAAATACATTAAAGAAACTGCAGTGATAGAGGACATATAATTACCTAAGATAAACAGATAGCTTTGAAAATCAGGCCACTTACAACTAGTTATGGACTTAGGAGGCTAAAGTTAGTACCAATTTTTAAAAAAATCTTGGCCATAAAATGTAAATACACTATAGTCCAGTACATTTTATATGGATATATATGAAATAGTCCAGTACATTTTATATGGATCATTAAGGGGAACCTGTCCAGTTAAAAATAAGTTTGTTTTTTTTTTTAAAAAGTCCACATTCATGTTAATCTATTTTGCATTTCTCTCAGTATGCAATGAAAGTTGCGATGAATGCTAACCAGTTTCACTTTAATTCCTGCTCAGTTTCACTTTCAAGTTTGTGTCTCCTACCACTAGGCTACAACATTTGAGCTGTCAATATTGTAGAGGAGCACTTTTTTTTTTTAAGTTATGGAAACTTTTGCAAATGTCCTACTTCAGTTTTGGAAAAGTTTTTTTTTTTTTTTTTTTTTTAAGTTTAAACATACAAACCACTACCACCTAAATTTGGGGTTAAACGTGACCCAGCTGTGTCTCAATGTAAATATTGTTTTACACATTTGGCACTCTATTCACCGTTTGGGATGCTGTGCCACGCTCTTGGAAGGCATTTCTGACATCTCTCTACACAGAAGCCACGTTTTATCTTCATTGATCAGTTCATAAAAGTTTGTTTTCTTTTGACAAGTGAACTTCTGGTATAGTCTCGTATTTACCACGGTTCAAGAGGAAATTTCTTCCTGTCTCACTCCAAATTAGTTATTATTAATCTGTTCTTTTTAAGTTGCCATCCATTTGATTGCTTCATTATTTAATAAGAATGCCTTGAGCTGATATAGCAGCTTTCAAGCAAGAATCTATCAACCTTCAGAAATAGGCAAGTATTATCACCTTTATTCATAGGTGGAAAAACTACAGCAGAGAGGGGTTAATAGCTCGCTATTCAGAGGTGGGGAGCACCCACAGATTCCTTTGACTTCAATGGGAGTGGTGTGTTCTCAGCACTTCCGAAAATCAGGCCACACATTTCTTCTCCAAGTTACAAAGCAAGCTGATGGCAGAGCTGGGACTAGAATCCTGGACTCTTGACTCCTGGTGCCAGGTTCTAACCTCCAGACAATGCTCCCCCTCAAGCCAAGTCCACCCACATAAAACAACTAACAGCCTAACTGTTAAAGTCTCACCTGAATCTCAGAGAGGGAAGCTCCTTTCTCAACTAAACTAACAATCAGTTGTGAGACAGTGCCACAAAGGGCCCACCATCTCCGAGTCCTCATCAAGCTGAAGAACACGTGCCCTTAGTTCAATTCTGGAGCATGACAATGGACTCTTATACTACAAGCTGGGAGCTAATGAGCATATTTCTGGAGCAGCAAGGTGGACGTGAGTCGATGAAGTAGGAGGAAGGGCCTCTTATGCCTCTGAAATCTCTTGGGATACTACAACTACTGGAAGACCTCAGATAGAGAAACCCATGAACTGATATAAGGGGGCCAGGGGATCTTACCGGTCTGGGAGTTTTGGTTGGAAGGGCTCTTCCCTGCAGGGCAGCCAGACGGTCTTCCATTTCCTGTGTGGATGGAATGGGTTTGCTGGGGTCATCCTTCAGTGCTGCAAGCCTAGATTCTATCTCAGCTTGAGATGGGATGGACTCTGCAATTCAAACCAACTCTGTTTGTTTACAGCAAGCAAATGGCTTTTATAGTTTTAGTGTCTTGGAATATATTTTTCTTTCGAGAATGGGGCCCTGGACAGCTAAGCAAAGCCTCCCTCACTTCACTGATCACAGCCAGGGATAATTGGCCAGAGCCATGACCAATATCCCCTGTGGTTTGCTTAAAATTTTCTTGATTGCTGTAATGTGTTCTTCCAAAAAAGGGTGTCTACTCCATGGGACCCCAATAAAAACAGCAATGTGACTCAGTTACTATGTCCACATACAAGAGTTCTGCTACTGTGTGACTCATGTACCTTGAAATGATTAGGGCACTGGTCTAATGCTATCATCCACCACTTAATTCTAGCCACTGCCTCCTCCCCTGTAGATCTCCCAGACATGAAGTTTGTGGCACCAACCTAACTAGAGGAGTGAAAGTGAAATGCATGTTCCACCTCCCACTTTGGAGCCAGACAGTCCATTGCTGCTGTTTCCCACTCGAGCATCCTAGAACTGCCTGCTGAAATCAGCTTTCCTTTGTTTGTTCCTGGAAGCAGGAATGGGCAAAGTGTAGTCCCATGGAGCCCTGCATTGCTCTTGGCAGGAACCAGTACTTCAGTCAAAGCGTTCCCATGTGTGACCTCTGCACAACAGTTTGGCCACACACTAACAGCACCATGTGCAGTCCCCTGCTTCACTTCGTTCCTAACATTACCATGCCCAGGGACATGCCCAGGACAGATGTAAACAAGCAGCTTATTTCACTGTGTCAAGACATACAAGATAAGGACTGAACCATGCAAACCAGTGAGAAAGCAGAGGTCCAGGGCAGCAAAATGTGTGCACCGGAGAGCAGCAGCCCAGGGAATGGGGCCCAGGTACCCACTGCTCTGATAGCATGGGCAGGACTTGGCTCCCATGGGCAGCTTTCTCCCATCAATTTCCATGTCTGGAGGTTAGTCTCAAATGCACCGACTGTTGTGAGTGTGCAGTCCACCCTTGCTATTTGTACAGCTCAGAAGCAGCAACCGAACCTCTGCTCAGATGTAGGAAGCTTACACCGTACTATCAAACTCACTGGGCTTTGTTTCCTCCTTAAGCCTCTCCAGCCGCTCTGCAATAGCTCGATCCTCCTTTGACAGCCCCTGATATTTGGAGCCTCTCTGGCATTGGGGTTTCACTGGGCCTTTCTGCGAACCCATCGGCTGGTTCTGCTTGGCCTCAAGAGCTGCTACACGCCTGTGACGAGGGAAAAAACAAGCATAACTTGGAGCAGGCACTTAGAACACGAATTATGAAGGCATCTTCTGCAAGCTCCTCTACAAACATGCTATTTAGGGAAAGATGATACAGGACAGAATATGGAAACTCTTTTATTCCTGCTCCTGACTTTGCTAGGATGGATTTGGGTCTGGGGAAGCAGAGATCCTCCCAAGGACTAAGGAAAACCATTCCTCTCACAGAAGCACTGATATAAAATGGTCAAAAAGTAGACTAGATGATTAGTAATGAAACATGGAACCTTTCAGTTCTAGATCACAGGTTTGAATTCAGCCTTGCTGTATAGCAGCCAAAAGTCATTATCATCAGGTGGCTGTTTGGTGACCTTACTGAAAGAGCTGCTGTTCTCAGTCCAGTTCCAAGCAGAGAAGTGTCCATGTCACAAGCCCACCTTCTTGGTGGCAGTCTCAACAGAGAAGCAAAGAACCAAAAGAATATCCACCTAAAGATTCAAATGTGCTGGACTAACTAGCAAAACTCACTTTTTGTAGTTCTCTGGTGGAGACCATCTAGCTGTACTAGTCCGAGACACTCCTCTGGAAAGCAAAAACAAACATCCCACTGTAAAACAAAGACCTGAGACAGATGTCCAGATAATGCTACAACCGCACATCCTCTCTCTTTCAAACCTAGAGAAATTATGATGCACATGGCTATGGCACTCATTGCCGTAAAAAGTAAAAATTTACTTGGTTTAAAACATGTCATCAGTATTCCACAATAAGAGGAGCACAGACACCACTCTCTGCAGCAGCCTGCAGTTAGAAAGAGACAGCAAATGGAAAGAGACCTGGGGACAAAGGCTCTGGGTTCTCCTAGCTCAGGATCAGTGGGAAGCCTTGGGAAAGAGATGTGCCTTACATCTCTTTCAAAATACAAAATTATATAACAAATGTTTTAAAATGTATTATATTATCTTGTATAATGATTGTATATTACAGAAATGGTTATAGAATACAAATTATTATAATTATATGTAATAATTATATATTACAACATATTGAGTTACCTGATTATGTGCTAATCTTAACTCTGCATGTCCTGATTTGTGTGCTTAACTATATAACCTGTACCTGTGCATCTGAGGCTTTCAAAGCAGGAAGACTGTGAATATTTTTTCTGTTACAACCAAATCAATCCCACAAACTTTAAATCTTCAGATTATACATGGCATCTAGGCCTCTGAAACAGTGAAGGTGGATTATTTTTGTTTGTTTTTTGATTTAGTGACAACACTTCCAATCACCTTATCACCAAGCTGCTCAGCTACTATACCAGGGGTGGGCAAACTACGGCCCGTGGGCCGCATCTGGCCCCCCAGCCATTTTAATAAAGCCCTTGAACTCCTGCTGCGGAGCGGGGTCTGGGGCTTGCCCCGCTCCAGTGCTCCAGCCGGGGAGCAGGGTTGGGAGCTGCTCCACGCGGCTCCCGGAAGCTGCAGCATGTCCCCCTTCCAGCTCCTATGTGGAGGCGCGACCACGGGGCTCTGCTCTGCACGCTGCCCCCACTCCAAGCACTGCCCCTGGAGCTCCCATTGGCTGGGAACCATGGCCAGTGGTCTGGCCGTGTGGCCGCGCCTCTGCATAGGAGCCAGAGAGAGGACATGCCGCTGCTTCCAGGAGCCACTTGAGGTAAGTGCCGCCCACAGCCTGCACCCCTGAGCCACCCCTCTGCACCACAACCTCCTACCCCAGCCCTGATCCCCCTCCCGCTCTCCAAACTCCTCGGTCCCAGCCCAGAGCACCCTCCTCACCCCAAACCCCTCATCCCCAGCCCCACCCCAGAGCCCACACCCCTAGCCAGAGCCCTCACCCCCTCCCTGTGCCCCAGCCCAGAGCCCCCTGAATGCCTCATTTCTGGCCCCACTCTGGAGCCCGCACGCCCAGCCAGAGCCCTCACCCCCTCCCGCACCCCAACCCCAATTTTGTGGGCATTCATGGCCCGCCATACAATTTCCATACCCAGAAGTGGCCCTCGGGCCAAAAATTTGCCCACCCCTGTACTATACAGTTGTATGGATACTTGGAACTGAAACCCACATGGTAACAGCTCAGTAAAGGACTAGTTTGGCATTTCAGTTTATGGACAGCATACATGTGGCTGTGTAAAGTGGAGTTATAAAAAGAGAAGTGGATCAAAATCTGCATTGTGACACCAGAGGCTGAAACAAACAAACAAACAAAAAGAGTATATAAACACACAGACTGTGCCCAAGTCTCCCACCTTACCTGGTTAGCTCCCCGTGACACTGCTTGCACACCTTCTGCTGAGCATTCCCGTAACGGGGAACAATGGCGCTGAACCCAAGGCAGCCTGAGCAAAATGCCCGCCCACAGTTCTTGCACCCACACTGAGAAGAAACAAGGAAGTGCAAGAGTTTCATTGGCTGGCTGAAACACTGTGAAATATACACTGAATCTCTCTGGATGTGCACCAGGCAGGAGCAACTTCCACATCAAAAGTACTTCAGAGATATGATATGTGCTAGTTTGTAAGTTTAAAAAGAAAATTAAGTATTTGTATGAATAAGAATAGTAGTTGCAGCTACACTAGCTAGATTAAACAGCGTAAGAGTATCAGCCTTTTGGACACAAGCTGATCACCTGCTGGAGTCAGGAATACCATCTCTTCCCCTAGTATAGTAAGAGGGTGGGGGGGGGTTCACTCTTTTTTCTGAAGTATCTGGAGAACATTGAACTACATGGACCATAAGTCTGTACTGTTATAGCAGTGGTTCTCAAACTTCATTGCACCGCAACCCTCTTCTGACAACAAACATTACTACATGACTCCAGGAGGGGGCACTGAAGCCTGAGCCCGCTAGAGCCTCGCCGCCCTGGGTTGGGGGAGGCAAAGCCCAAGAGCTTCAGCCCTGGACAGAGGCCTGTAGCCTGAGCCCCACCACCCAGGGCTAAAGCCACAGCCAAAGCCAAAGCCCAAGCCCTGCCACCCGAGACGATGAGGGTCGGGCTTTGGGCCTGGGTGGTGGGGCTTGGGTTTTGTCTTCGGCCCCAAACCCTAGCAAGTCTAACACGAGCCCTGGCGACCCCATTAAAATGGGGTAACAACTCACAGTTTCAGAACCACTGTGTTATAGCAATTCCTATATGTTTTAAACACAGAGAGGTTAACATGCCCGTGTCATTAATATACAATTAAGGAAAACAATGACACTGACACACAAAAAACGTGTGCTTAGAGCCAAGGAAGCTCAGCAGGTTTGAACTGTAGAATGTAAAGCAGAGAGTGGGAGGTGGGGTTACTATTTCTGATATGAGGAGCCTCAAACTGTTGGCGTTTCAGATGGCATTGATCAAATGCTGCCACGAGGAAACTCACTCAGCTGCCTGCCTAACTGGCTTTTTAGGGCCAGATCTTGTATCCAGTGTTGAAGAGAGACTTGCCTCTTTCCTGAAGAGGGTAAACTTGGAGGCACAGCCATAACACCTTCTATCCATAGGGCTAATGGAGAACACACGCTCACTCTCTCACAGATATATCAAAAAGAAATAGTTTATCCCCGGAAGCTGTCTATTTGTCCAGATGGAGCTGTCCTGGAATATTCTTCTCCTTCAAAGGGAGGAGCACGTTGGGGGAAATGATGAATTATGGCATTTCAGAGTTTACTTGCTGCACGCTTGGTTGTAGAAACGATGGTTCCAGATTCTTTCAGCAGAGAGAGGAGGAGAAAGGATCTGATCCTTGCTTAACTTTTACAGACAACCTTTTAATGAAAGCATTATTGTTAACAATAAATAACATTATAATTTGCTGTTCTCTTACATGACTATGTTCTGACAGCTCAAAGCAAGGACAAGACACACCAAGTGCTCTCCATCTCCCTCCAAATCACCGCCAGTCTAAATCGCCTTGTTCTGCAAAGCCCATTAGCAATAACAACATCCACTGTCTTTGTATTGTACAAGTTTGCATACTTAGGATGCCACCTCCCCAAAGCAGAGATTTAATTCCTGTTTTAACATACGTTGCCATAAAACTATTATGTATTTGGCAGCACAAAGTGCTCCACAACATACAAACACACAACATTACAAAAATCCCAGGTCCCAGAAGCTCCCAGTCCAAATCAGGTGCCCCGGAAAGCTGCAATACTATACCCGTAGCGTACCAACAGTAATCACAGCGAGAGTCTGGACGCAGAGGCTGCATCAGTGCAAACCCCACTCGACTCAGTACACGGCTCCCAAGCCACAGGGCTTTGCACCTACTGAGCCCCCGCCCTTCGCCTCACCGACTCTAGCGGAAGGGGTTAATGCTGCCGCTTACGGCTAGGAAACTTTGCTGCTCACATCCCACCAACACCCGAGATAGCCAAGAACACAGCCCTGGCAGCGCAGAGCGCGACGGACGTTGTAGTCCTTCCACCCCGTCCGATCCCCTTCCGCAGGACTATAGAAAACTACACGTCCCAAGACAATGCGCATACCCCCTGCTGCGCAGAGCCTGCCGGGAGCAGTGATTCTGCCGGTTGGCCAGAGAGAGACCTTCCCGGTGGGCTGTGGGCCGCGCGGGGCATTATGGTAGTTGTAGTTCTCTTTCCCCGAAGGGCTCTAAGAACCAGAGGTCAGTCGGGAGGCCGGAGAAACTACATTTCCCAGCAGCGAGGGGTGCGGGGCCGAGGAGGCGGGGATAACCAGGCCCAGCGGCGCAGGGGGAACCGGGAAACCAGGGGCCTGGGATTGGGCCTGGGCCTGTGGGGGTGGAGTGGAGATGGCGGTCGATAAGGAGCTGTTGCAGCTGGACCTCTACGCCCTGCTGGGGGTCGGGGAGAAGGCTTCGGACAAGGAGGTCAGGGCCTGACCGGAGGGGAGGGGAGGGGAGGGGTGGGCGGGGCGGGTCAGGTCAGGTCATGGGGCATCGGGCTCCCCCGCCCCGTTGGCGAACGCTCCCCTCAGCCCCGGGGGGTCCTGCAGCGCGTGGCGGCCCCGGGGTCTGATACCACGGTAACGGCGGCTGCGTGCTACCAGAAATACAAGGCGACCCTGGGCGCTCTTCTTGCTCCCAGTATGTGAAAGCACGTGTGGGGCTGCGCCTGGTGCGGGGGGCAGTGGCAGAAAAGTGGCACCTTCTGCAGCGAGTCGTGTTCGTTGCCAACGTAAACACTGACCTGAGATGTTAGTCACCTGTTGGGTGGGGGAAGCTAAACCTTAGAGCACCGTAACGGGTTAAATAACGTGGGTAGGGAGCAAATTTCTCTCTGCCTCTGCTGATATTTAAGAGGTCACAGTATGGGACTGGGGAAGATGTTTTGAGATGAGATCTTGAGGCAGAGAGGTACCGTAGTGTGCCATATGGCACCAGCTACTGATGAGAAAGCTCTTGTGCAGTCGGTGACAAGATGATAGGAAGGGCAAAAAGAAGGCAGGTGTGATGCGTGTAACTTGTTTCAAAAACCTTATTAAAACATCTAGCTTATCATAACTCTCTTTATTACGTCCACTAAAATGTCATGAATGTTTGTAAGCTTCTGTTCACTATACCTGCTGTTACTCATCATGAGCCACTGGCTTTTCAAGTGTTTGTTCCAGTCTCAGCTGCATCTGGATAGCACTCATTCAGAAGAGCCACAGCACTTGGTTCCATTGTCATGACGCTCATCCCAGTGCTCCAAGATAGATGCCATTTTCTCCCTCTCACAAGATGTCAGAAGGCTGACCTAGTTACTGGATCACATTCTTTGCGTTTGTTTCAACAGTCTATGACTAAAATGTTCTAAAACAAAGATTAAGAATAGAGAAAGAAATAGCATTAAAACAAGACACATGCTGTAGCTATAAAAAGAAAAGGAGTACTTGTGACACCTTAGAGACTAACACATTTATTAGAGCATAAGCTTTCATGAGCCACAGCTCACTTCATCGGATGCAGAAGCTCACTTCATCGGATGCATACAGTTCTGCATCCGATGAAGTGAGCTGTAGCTCACGAAAGCTTATGCTCTAATAAATGTGTTAGTCTCTAAGGTGCCACAAGTACTCCTTTTCTTTTTACGGATACAGACTAACACGGCTGCTACTCTGAAACCTGTCATGCTGTAACTAGACAGACTCACAAGAGTTAAACTCAATAGATACATTTGGGCCCAATTTGGCATTCCACATAAAGCTTCTCCTCAGTTCAGAGACAGGACAAGGACTGCTTTCTGGTACCTTTGCATTCTGGGGCTGTCTAGATTAGAGCTGCCTTAGGTCCTGGTTGATGATTGTGTAACTTCTTTATTTCCCAGTTTAGCCCAGTATTCCTTGTGTCCTCACTGCTCAATGAAAATAACAGGACCCTGTCATATAACATTGCCTTTCTTTGCTCCTTTCTCTAGAGTGAACATTATTCTGTTATTTTCCAAAACTTTTATAATCTTCGTTATTCACCTGTGAACTCTCTTCATTTGCCTTTCTTGAAACGTGTCGCAAGATGATTGCATTTCCCCTGATGAAGCCTAATTAGTACCGTGGTTTATTATTTATGTAGAAAGGGTCCCAAACTTGCTAGGTACTTTACAGATAGACTAAAACAGATCCCTGCCCTGAAGAACTTGCAGTCTACATGGACAACACACACACACGGAATGGGGGAAGGAAACCTTGAATTTGGGGGGGTGGGGTGAGGAAAGGATGGAGAGGTGAGAGAAAAGAATATACAGATTAGGCCTGATATGGAGCTCTAATTTGGAACACTAAAGTTACGTTTTTAGGAATTGTTTATGGGGAAGTTAGCAGATTGTTAATTGTGTGGAGTAATCTTGCTTGTTTTGCATAGGATACTCCTATTAATACCTAATATGGCAATTGTTTTATTATACTGTTACATTGTGATTCTTAGTCATGTTGCTGGTATTTAATAGGACAGACAATATTTGCTAGTTCACTGATCACCATCTCTACTATAGCCGTTGTACTATATTTTCTGCCTTTTTGTCTTAAATATGTGGGGTAAAATTCCCATTGACTTCAGTGGAGATGGGATTCACCCATTATATTTATTTACAGTGCTTTAAATGGATACTGTCAACTTGAAATCTAGTCTGTTTCAAAAAAGAGTTAAAAGTAGTTTCTGGTACTAAATCTGCATGAGTCTCCTTAAACCTCTGTGGTTTTGCAGTTACATTTCCCTTTTTTTTCCCCCCCTGCCCTGTTTTTTCTTCTTTATTGTTTTACAGACCCACACAAACAATGGGGGAAACTGACAGTTTATAGAAGAGGAACAGTGAAATTGACTAAATACCAAGTGTTATCAATTGAACAAAATTAAACTTAACAAGAAGTAACTTTTTTCCTCTAATTTTCAGTTACAATAACACTAGTAGATATAGTTTTAGATAAAGTATGATGTTTAAGTTGCAAGGGTCCTTTTAATTAGATAGGAGCAAAATTTAGCGCCAAGATAAAGAGGCAGAGCTCCATTGTCTTCAGTGGAGTTGCACTCAACTTCTCTAGGGCTGACTATGGTCATGAATTTCAATTTTATTGAAAGGAAGGATATGAACACCTTCTAAATAGTTTTGAATTCTATTTCTTTAACTTAATGATGAGGTACTGTTGTTATATCATGTGATTTCCTTGTGCAGTTAGTAGTTTATATGAGGAATGTGTAAAGGAAACTTCATGGACATCACTGATGCTTTCGTATTTATTAAGGGGGGAAGTAAAATGTTTAAGATTTTCTTCTTAAAGATGTTCCTAGAAATAATATTCTGCAAAGGTTTGTGGAATGCTCTGTTTTATTTTTTTCATATATGCTTATCTTATCTAACTTATATCATTATTAACTCAGGATTTCCACAGGGAATTCATTCCCAGTCTATTATTTGGAACTGCTAATGTCATCACAAATGTATTTGTGATTTCTCACAAATTCACTGTAATTCTCAGTTCCCTGCAATGGGAAACAGAGATCTTAAGGATTTGTGTGAAGAGCAGATGCTAGTACCCTGAAAACTTCCATCATATTCTTTTGGGGTAGACAGGGTATGTCTACACTACGAAATTAGGTCGATTTTGTAGAAGTCGATCTTTAGAAATTGATTTTATACAGTCAATTGTGTATGTCCCCACTAAGAGCATTAAGTTCGCGGAGTGTGTCCTCAATACCGTGGCTAGCATTGACTTACGGAGTGGTGCACTGTGGATAGCTATCCCACAGTTCCTGCAGTCTCGGCTGCCCATTGGAATTCTGGGTTAAGCTCCCAATGCCTGATGGGGGTAAAACATTGTCGAGAGTGGTTTTGGGTACATGTCATCAGTCGCCGCTCCTTTCCTCCCTCTCTCTGTGAAAGCAATGGCAGACAGTTGTTTCTCTCCTTTTTTCCTGGGTTACCCATGCAGACGCCATACCACAGCAAGCATGGAGCCCGCTCAGCTCACCGCTGCTGTTGTGAGCATTGTAAACCCCTCGTACATTATCCTGCAGTATGTGCAGAACTGGGCTAAAAGACGCCAGCACGAGGACAATTGTGAGGGAGACGTGGACACAGACGTTGCTGAAAGCAGTTGGGACATCATGGCGGCAGTGGGGCTGGCTGATACAGTGGAACGCCGATTCTGGGCCTGGCAAACAAGCACAAACTGGTGGGACCACAGAGTATTGGAGGTATGGGATGATTCACAGGGGCTGCGAAACTTTTGCATGCGTAAGGCCACTTTCCTTGAACTTTGTGAGTTGCTTTCCCCCACCCTGAAGCACAGGAAACCAAGATGAGAGCTGCCCTGACAGTTGAGAAGCGAGTGGCGATAGCCCTGTGGAAGCTTGCAACACCTGACTGCTACCGGTCAGTCGGGAATCAATTTGGAGTGGGCAAGGCTACTGTGCGGACTGCTGTGATCCAAGTAGCCAATGCAATCACTGACATTCTGCAATCAAGTGTAGTGACTCTGGGAAATGTGCAGGTCATAGTGGATGGCTTTGCTGCAATGGGGTTCCCTAACTGTGGTGAGGCGACAGATGGAACACATATCCCTATCTTGGCACCGGACCACCTTGCCAACTAGTACGAAAACCGCAAGGGGTATTTCTCAACAGTGCTGCAAGCACTGGTGGATCACAAGGGACGTTTCACTGACATCAACGTGGGATGGCTGGGAAAGGTGCATGACGCTCGCATCTTTAGGAACTCCGGGCTGTTCGAGCAGTTGCAAGAAGGGACTTACTTCCCAGACCAGAAAATTACCTTTGGGGATGTTGAAATGCTGATAGTTATCCTTGGGGACCCAGCCCACCCTTTGCTCCCATAGCTCATGAAGCTGTACACAGGCAGCCTGGACAGTAGCAAGGAGCAGTTCAACTATAGGCTGAGCAAATGCAGAATGGTGGTAGAATGTGCCTTTGGACGTTTAAAAGCTCGCTGACACTGTTTGCTGACTAGGTTAGACCTCAGCGCAACCAACATTCCCATTGTTATTGCTGTTTGCTCCATAATATCTGTGAGAGTAAGGGGGAGACGTTTATGGCAGGGTGGAAGTTGAGGCAAATCGCCTGGCGATTAGAAGAGCACAGCTATGCACGCTGTGCATCAGAGAGGCTTTGAAAACCAGTTTCATGACTGGCCAGGCTACGGTGTGAGAGTTGTGAGTGTTTCTCCTAGCTGCAAACCCGCCCCCTTTGTTGATTTTAATTCCCTGTAAGCCAACCACCCTCCCCCCTTAGATCACAGCTGGCAAAGGAAATAAAGTAACTATTGTTTTGAAACCATGCATTCTTTCTTTATTAATTTAAAAAAAAAAAAAAAGGTGAGATAACTGACAAGGTAGCCCGGGTGGGGTGGGGTGCGGGAGGAGGGAAGGACAAGACCACATTGCTTATTGTAGCCACACTACAAATCAAAACTGTTTGAATGACAGCCTTCTGTTGCTTGGGCCATTTTCTGGAGTGGAGTGGCTGGGTGCCTGGAGCCTCCCCCCACGTTCTTGGGCGTCTGGGTGAGGAGGATATGGAACTTGGGGAGGAGGACAGGCGGTTATACAATGGATGCAGCTGGGGTCTGTGCTCTTGTTGGCTTTCCTGCAGCTCCAACAGACACTTCATCACGTCCGTTTGCTCCCCCATTAGCCGCAGCATCGCCTCCTGCCTCTGCTCTTCGTCCTCACTTAATGCTTTCCTGGCCTCTGCCACTGAATGCCTCCATGCAATAAGCTGTGTCCTATCAGTGTGGGAGGACTGCATGAGCTCGGAAAACATGTCATAGCGAGTGCGTTTTTTCGCCTTCTAATCTGCGATAACCTCAGGGACGGAGATGATAGGGGGAGCATAGAAACATTTGCACCTGGGGGGAGATAAAAAGGGAGAGTAAAATTTAAGATGATACATTTCTGAGAACAAAAGGGAGACTTTCACAGTGAATCAAGCAATTCACAGCAGACAGCACATGTGCTTTAGGTACAAGGTCGCATTTTCCTTTTATATTGAGCGCCTGCTGGTATGGTGACACATCACAACGGCTGGGCAACAGAATTTGGTTTCCAGACAGCCATGGTAAGCCTTTTGGTACGCGGAGTTGGCTTCTTCCACCTTCATAACATGTGGGAATGGTTTCAAACTGCAGCGCCATCCTTTCCCATAGCAAGCAATGCTGGTTGGGTTTCACATTTAAAAGGAGGGGCTGCGGTTTTCAGGTGGATGTGCAGCACACACCTCCTCCACCCCACCGTGTGGCTATTCTCTGGGATGATCCCTTCACCCCTCCCCCCTCTGCGTGGCTATTTGGGATGATCCCTTCACCCCTCCTCCCGCCGCATGGCTATTCTCCGGGGTGATCCTTTTTAGCGAAACGCAAACAACCCAGCATGAACGGGGTCCTTTTACTGTTCCCTTACAAAAATTCCCCTATTTCAACCAGTGACCATGAATGATATCACTCTCCTGAGGCTAACACAGAAAGCTAAAGACCGAATGTTGCTTGAATGCGACCAAAACCCAGAACCATTCGCTGCCGTGCTTTGTGCTGCAATGATTCCAGACTACTTGCTACTGGCTTGGCATGGTAAAGTGTCCTACCGTGGAGGACGAAATAAGGCAGCCCTTCCCAGAAACCTTCTGCAAAGGCTTTCAGAGTACCTCCAGGAGAACTTCATGGAGATGTCCCTGGAGGATTCCCGCTCCATCCCCAGACACATGAACAGACTCTTCCAGTAGCTGTACTGGCCGCGAATGTATCCCAATTCTTCAGGGCAAATCAAACATTAAACACTATTGCTTTTAAACCCTGTACTGTAGTTACAAATGTGCACTGACCAGAGCTGCCTTCTCCGGCTTCAGGGTCAGGGATCCCGCCTTGGGAGGGTATTGGCTCCAGGATGATGAAAAGGTCCTGGCTGCCAGGGAGAACGGATTCACTGCTTGTCTGCTGCGCATTTTCCTCTTCCTCATCCTCAAAATACTCCTCCCTGTCGCGTGAGACTCCCCCCTTACAGGTGTCCATGGACAGTGGTGGGGTAGTGGTAGGATCCCCACCTAGAATGCCATGCAGCTGATTCATAGAAGCGACATGTATGGGGCTCTGACATGGAGCGATTATTTGCTTCCTTTGTCTTTTGGTAGGCTTGCCTGAGCTCCTTGACTTTCATGTGGCATTGCTGTGTGACCCTGTTGTAGCCTCTTTCTACCATGCCCTGTACAATTTTGGCATATATATTAGCATTTCTTCTTTTTGATCGGAGTTTAGCCTGCACAGATTCTTCTCCCCATACAGCAATCAGATCCAGTGTCTCCCTTTCGGTCCATGCTGGAGCTCATTTGCAATCTTGGGGGGACTGCATGGTCACCTGTGCTGCTGAGCTTGCCACACTGACCAAACGGGAAATGAAATTCAAAATTTCCCCGGACTTTTACTGTGTACCTGGCTAGTGCATCGGAATTCAAAGTGCTGTCCAGAGTGGTCACATTGGAGCACTCTGGGATAGCTCCCGGAGGCCAATACCGTCGAATTGCATCTGCACTATCCAAATTCGACCCAGCAAGGTTGATTTTAGCGCTACTCCCCTCACTGGAGAGGAGTAGAGAAGTCGATTTTAAGATCCCTTTAGGTTGACGGAATGGGGTTGGATGTGTAGATGCATTCATTTTAAAATCAACCTAACGCAGCTAAATTTGACTTAACTCCATTGTGTAGACCAGGGCTGAGACTCTGGGCTTGCCATTGGATACATGCAGGTAGCACTATTGGAATCATCTGTGCTTCCATGCAGGCACGAGAGACAACCTGCATGGATCAAGGTTTATATTTACTAATTTGGCATAAACTAACCATTTGACTTGCCAGTTTGTATTACCAGTTGAAAATGTGATAGTATTGAAGGAGCAGCACAGAAATGTGGCAAATCTGCAGGTGACATGAGCCACCTAGAGAGCAATGTCTTTATGTAAGGTATTTGAAGCATCCCGGAGAACTGGAGAAAAGAACAGGAGGACTTGTGGCACCTTAGAGACTAACAGATTTATTTGAGCATAAGCTTTCGTGAGCTACAGCTCGCTTCATCGGATTTTGCAGACACAGACTAACACAGCTGCTACTCTGAAACCGGAGAACTGGGCAATCTTTGTACAGAGGAGCCAGCCAGGCATCACCATAAACTGTGACTGAGGGGGGCATTATTTTTCCCTGGATCATTTGTTTGGAAGCCCTAACTGATGTCATCACATTGGAGAGTTCCTCTGACAATTATCTGTGTTGTGGATGATGTGTGCCTTGAGAAGACTTCACTTTATTTTTAGTGGAGTCTCATTTACGGAGGTGTATGATTTAGGTTTCAGAGGAACAGCCGTGTTAGTCTGTATTCGCAAAAAGAAAAGGAGTACTTGTGGCACCTTAGAGACTAACCAATTTATTTGAGCATGAGCTTTCGTGAGCTACAGCTCACTTCATCAGATGTATACCATGGAAACTGCAGCAGACTTTATATACACACAGAGAATATGAAAAATTGTTTCATATTCTCTGTGTGTATATAAAGTCTGCTGCAGTTTCCACGGTATACATCTGATGAAGTGAGCTGTAGCTCACGAAAGCTCATGCTCAAATAAGTTGGTTAGTCTCTAAGGTGCCACAAGTACTCCTTTTGATTTAGGTTTGTTATGTTTTAGCTGCTGGTTGCCTTTACTGTTACTTATATATGTCCACCAGGTGATGTCTGAATACCACAGGTTCCCTCCAGCCAATTTATAAAGTGATTCATTGGCAGTTGGATGGAAGCCACTCTTCTTCCTTGATTTTATACTTGCATATAGAGATTTCCTATGATAGAGAGAACTCAGATGTTAAAATCCTATTCAGTGGCTTGTAAAATGTTTGTTGACTTCTCTTTGAATGGGTAAGAAATACTGTATGTACATGATCTCTGTAGTAGCATATCCATAGCTGAAAAAAACAAACCCTAAAACTAACATGGATCTCTGAGACAGTTACTAAAATTGTATAGTCTTTGGTCAAAATTTCCTCTCCCTGCCAATACCACTTGTTGTGCAGTGTGCTGTACAATCTCCATTCCAAGTAATTACATCTCCAGAGAACAGCCCTTCCACTTCTGACTTGATGAAGATTGTGCCTCATTATATTAAACTTGGCATTGGCTGTAGTGATCTATTCATTTGTGACTTTAAGGGTTTATTACCGCAACAAGCTGTATCTAGGACTGAAACCTCTGGCTTTAAAAAAAGTCAAATTGAGTGAATGTAATTGCTGACCTACTTGGCTGGAATGTTTTCTTGTTGCAGTGCAGTTTGATTATAAGGCAAGACCACTGTAGAAAAGTTGTGAGCTGAGCTTAAAACAGCCTCCTGCAATTAACAGTAGGATAATTTAATTTATCTAGCCAGCTGCCAGTGATGCCATCAGTGTCCTAGTCTTCCTTTATTTGCTAGGTTGCCTATGGCACTCCCAGTCCTGCCAGTGTGTGCCGGTGCCTAACCTTAAGTCATTTTTTTACACACACACTCCTTAAATACTCAGGTTTCAGAGTAGCAGCCGTGTTAGTCTGTATTCGCAAAAAGAATAGGAGTACTTGTGGCACCTTAGAGACTAACCAATTTGAGCATAAGCTTTTGTGAGCTACAGCTCACTTCATCGGATGCATTCAGTGGAAAATACAGTGGGGAGATTTATATACATAGAGAACATGAAACACTACTCAGTCATACATTTCTTGTGTTTTCTATGTGATGTTTTTGTCCTGAAGGCCTCTCATTGTATGTGGAGAGCTGCAATCATTGGTGAATCTCTGTTCTGTACAGGTTAAGAAAGCATACAGGCAGAAGGCCCTGACTTGCCATCCGGATAAGAACCCAGACAATCCCAGAGCAGGTAAGATCAGTCTGTGTAGAAACAAGCAGGTTTTCCCTGTCTGTTCCAGCTGTGTGGACACCTGGGAGTGGCTGTGTTTGTCTGCTGTTGCACAGCTCTGTTTTTGCAAGTAATTATGGAAGTGCCTGTGTTATGCAGTGTGTGCACATATATCTCTGTCTGAGGTCTTGTCTACTCAGTGAGCTAATGAGCACTTACAAGGGGTGTGGTTTCTAAAGTGCATTAACACGTGCATTAATTGGTCCATGTAGACCCTGCTGGTGTGCACTAAAGGTTCCCTAGCCTGTGTTAAGGTGGTAGTAAAAGACACTTTAGTATGCATCTGCAGGGTCTGCATGGACCAGTTAATGCGCAGCACGTAAGTGCACTTTAGAAATCACACCTCCGTAAGCACATGTTACTCCACCATGTAGACAAGCCCTGAGACACATTTATCACTACTAGGTAACTGAGTTATAAGGCTAAATGCACAGATATTGGATTATGGGGCAGATCTACCTAGGCACAAATGGCAGTTGGGTGCTTAACTCCTATTTCTGCTTTTGAAAATCTTCCCCTTAATGGTAACTCTCAGAGTGAATCCTCCACCTTTGGCCATTATATCCCACTGGCTGCCAGGTCACACTTCTAATCTACAGTTCTAAGAATCTCTAGCCTTTAATAGAAACCTTGTATATAATTATTTATTTATATATTGGTAGTGCCCATTGTGAGAAAATCATATCTCCGCTATAGGCAAGTCTCCATACACTGTGCAGTGAAATGGACCTAAATTATGGACAAGGTCCTTAAATTCTGCAGCTGTTTAATTTACGTTTAAATGAATTAAATATGAAAATGAATAATACCATCCATATGGTGGCGCCACTGATGTTCATTTTGATATTAAGTTCGGTTTATTTTATGGTGTCCTCATGTTTATCACTTTGATGTGCCATAGATTTGTATACTGATCACATATAAATGCA